AGGGGGAGGAGGAGGGGGAGGGGGGAGGAGCAGAGGAGCAGAGGAGCAGAGGAGGAGGAGGAGGAGGAGGAGGAGGAGGAGGAGGAGGGGGAGGAGGAGGAGGGAGGCGGAGGAGGAGGAGGAGGAGGAGGAGGAGGAGGAGGAGGAGGAGGAGTGGGGGTCGGAGCAGGGCCGCTGTCCGACGAGAGCTGCCGAGAGGCCGCGCAGGGCGAGGGCGCGAGGCGCAGCGTGCAAACGCCAGCGTGGCGGGGTCGGAGCAGGGCCGCTGTCCGACCCGAGCTGCCAGGTGGCCGCGCAGGCGATGGCGCGCGGCGCAGGCGTCCCTCCTCCAGCTCCCTCCTCCTCCGCCTCCTCCTCCTCCTCCTCCTCGCCTCCTCCTCCTCCTCCCTCCTCCTCCTCGGCCTCCTCCTCCTCCTCCTCCTCCTCCTCCTCCTGAAGCCTCGCCAGGCCCTGTTCTCCTCACCTCGCCTCCGTGTCGTCGTCGCCCGGCAACTTGTCCGCGACGTCATCCGCGCCATCTTGGGCGTCGTCGACGACCTTGTCCGCATCCGTCGTCGACTAGTCCGCGACGTCATCCGCGGCATCCTGTGCGTCGTCTACGACCTTGTCCGCGTCCGCCGTCGCGTCACCGCCCGGCAACTTGTCTGCGACGTCATCCGCAGCATCCTGGGCGTCGTCGACGACCTTGTCCGCATCCGCAGTCGCGTCACCATCTGGCAACTTGTCCGCGACGTCATCCGCATCTTGGGCGTCGTCGACGGCCTTGTCCGGGTCCGCCGTCGTGTCACCGCCCGGCAACTTGTCCGCGACGTCATCCGCAGCATCTTGGGCGTCGTCGACGGCCTTGTCCGCGTCCGCCGTCGCGTCACCACCCGGCAACTTGTCCGCGACGTCATCCGCAGCATCTTGGGCGTCGTCGACGACCTTGTCCGCGTCTGCCGTCACGTCACCACCTGGTAACTTGTCCCCGACGTCATCCGCAACATCTTGGGCGTCGTCGACGGCCTTGTCCGCGTCCGCCGTCGCGTCACCACCCGGCAACTTGTCCGCGACGTCATCCGCAGCATCTTGGGCGTCGTCGACGACCTTGTCCGCGTCTGCCGTCACGTCACCACCTGGTAACTTGTCCCCGACGTCATCCGCAACATCTTGGGCGTCGTCGACGGCCTTGTCCGCATCTGCCGTCGCGTCACCATCCGGCAACTTGTCTGCGGCGTCATCTGCAGCATCTTGGGCGTCGTCGACGACCTTGTCCGCATCCGCCGTCGCGTCACCACCGGGCAACTCGTCCGCGACGTCATCCGCAGCATCTTGGGCATCGTCGACGACCTTTCGGGCTGGGCGAAAGGGGGGATAGCAAAGGGGGTGTTTGAGAGTCAGCTCACGTAGCTGATTTCCCCGCCGCCTCCCTGCGCCGGCAGGCGCCGCCCATGTATCGAGGAGTGGGCCCGGCGGCGGGGCCGAAGCCAGCTGCATGCAGCCGATTTCGTACCCCCCCCTTTGCCTAACTATCCCCCCCCTTCGTTCGGCGCGAACCTTGTCCGCATCCGCCGTCACGTCACCACCCGGCACCTCGTCCGCGACGTCATCCGCAGCATCTTGGGCGTCGTCCACGACCTTGTCCGCATCCGCCGTCGCGTCACCGCCGGGCAACTTGTCCGCGACGTCATCCGCAGCGTCTTGGGCCTCGTCGACGGTCTCGTCCGCAGCATCTTTCATGTCGTCTACAGGGTTGCCCGAGTCGACCAAAGTTGTCGCGCCCCGGATCCGGACAGATGCCCTGCTCCCGCTCTGCCCGTGCGACGCCACGCTCAGGGACGCCAGTGCCAGGATCGTTCCGCAGGAGACTGCCAGCATCAACGTGTGCGTCAGCTTGCGCGCGAAGAGGGGCTGGCGCTGCGTGGGCCGATCTGTGTCGTCGCGGAACCCGTGGAGCAGCTCCGTGTCGGAGTGGCACTGCATGTGGACTGACATGACTGCTGCCTCGAGGCTGCTTCTGGGCCTCTCCGCCACCTCTGACTGCAACTAGCTTTTTTGGGCGCGCGCGTCTCGAACCCGAAAGACTTGAGCCAAACTACGGGGTTGTCTGTCGCACTGGGCCTAATTTTTCCGTGGCCCCAGGGGCCTGAGCCCCCATCAAGCCGAAAAGGAAAAACAACGCCTGGATTGAAAACGACATATGGCGGGTTCTGGAAACCCTGAACCAAAACGTATGTCCATCTCTTAGGCGCGCATCTTTTACTTCCGTCGTCTTCCGCCGGCCTTCCGCCAGCGGAGGCGGCCTCGTTTTCCTTTCGCCAACTTCCGCCGGCCTTCCGCCAAGGAAGAGATGCCAACTCCTTCGATCCTCGAAGGCAAGGCCCTATTTCTGGAGCGCCCCGTGTCGCCAGAGATCTGGGCATGGGCTCGGAGTTATTCGTGTGGCGGTCTTCCCGTTCGGCAGCGGCAGCTGTGCTCCGCCAGCATCCCTGGCCACGGCCGTCTTTGGAGCCCCAGGATGGTGCAATGCAGTCTCCTGGCATCCATCTGGCGAGGCTTTACGCTCGGGCCCAGGCGTGGCCCTGGACAAGGATGGTCCCTGAGGCCCGACGTTGCGAACACAAATGCAGCATCGCAAGACATCGCGACCCAAGCCCCAAGTTTACTATCTTCAGTGGAAAAAACCCAATCAACGAAACATCCCTGGACAACCCCTCGGACAACGCGGACAACTCATGCTGTTTACCAACGACGAGACGACCTACCACGGAGAACCCCTTGGACAACCCAGCGGGGATCCGGACAAGCCACCTGGTACAAGCCTACCTGGCATTTTTCCTCCAGACGATCTGTGATGGTTCCGTGCCCAGCGGCGGGGCTGAAACCAGCGGCGCGCAACGGATTTCGCCCCCCCTAAAACAGGGCTAGGATCGGGATAAATCGCTCCAGAGCGTTCCGGAGCGCTCTCAGAGCGTTCTGGAACGCTCTGGAGCGGCCGCGGCGCCCAATACATCCTCCAAACCCGCCGATTCTCAGAGATTTCGAGTTCTCCCGATCCGATTTTGTCCCGATCTTCGCGTCGTTTTACCCCCCCCCGCCCCGCCCTGTCCCCATCCCCCCCTCCCCCGTTTCGCCCGACCCGGCCCGAGAACTGGAAGCCTCCCGGCCAACGCGTTGCGCCGGCGGCGCCGGCGTGGCGAACCACGGGCTCCGCATCGGGCAACGTCGTCGATGCGTCGGCGATGCGGCGCGATCCTCCGACCCCATCTGCTCGGACCCCATCTGCGTAGGATGAAGTCGGGCCTGTCCCCCTACAGGCCGATTTTGCACGACAAATGAACGATACAAAGTTCAGAAAATGCTAGAACTTAATCAAAAAATGGCCCCCAGACTATTTTTCCAGTTTTTTATCAGAATGTTTTTGAATTATCCTCCTGTAGAAGGGTACGCCCGACTTAAAGCTAGGAGGCCGCGAAGAGCACGGCTGCCCCAACCATCCCGGGCGGGCGGGGCACGCAGGCAACCCGAAGGCAAGGCGAGGCGACCCGAAGGCGGAGGGGGGGCGACGCCGACGGCTGGACCGAAGGCCACAGCCAACCCGTATCACAGACAGAGGGCAGAGCATCCACCCCGACAATGACCACCCGGGCACGCGAAGCCGTGTAGCACCCAAAGAAGGAATCAAGCAGGGCCAGGCTGTTTCGTAAACGCCCAGGGCCGCTCAGTAAACGCCAGCTGTCTGGTCCAGGTGTTTTTACCTCCCTTGAATGAGGGTGCACGGGAAGGGTGCAAGGGCCTCGGAAGGCCATGCCAACACTCTGCAAGCGGGGCGCGGCCAGCGAAAGCGGCCCAAGGAGGAGCCGAAGAGGCGAGGACGTGAGGGGAAAGTGGCCCATCCCTGCCCTGCGGGTGGACTGCAGAAAGGGGGCACGGCGAGCCCCTCCTCAGACTCCTCGGGCTGCGGCCGCGCAGCTCCCTGTCTCCCGCCTGGCTCCAGTGATCGGGCAAGCGCAGGACTCGGGCTCTGGGGGCTCCGGCTGGCCCGATCGGGCCGCCACGGAAACGACGATACCCACTCTGAAATCTGGCGCGGGCCTTTGCTGCAAGCATCCCACGAAAACTGGACCCCGCAGATATCAGACGTTGCAAGCACCGTGCAACAAAATCACCACCAGAGTCCGAGACCCCCTCCTCCTCCTCCTCCTCCTCCTCCTCCTCCTCCTCCTCTCAGTCTGTAGCTTCTTTCGAGCCGGATCGATCTGTGAGGGTCCCGGGGCCCGGAACAGGGCGAAGGCGCGTCGTGGAACAGGTACCAAACGCCACGCTCTCGAGAACGGCCAGGATGCAGGACGGGCCCGCCAAAAGGCGTCGGCAGACCCGAGTCCCCGCGAGCTCGAGCCTGACTGAAGGGGCCCTGGGACACACAAATAAATACACACAAATAAAAAGATCCTTTATCTTTTCCCATATTTTCTGGGTTTTTGTCTTCCCGCCCAATTTCCATATTTTCCCATATTTTCTTGGGAATCGACGATCAATTGTGTGTGTGTTTTTTCCCTTCCTTTCTGACGCTTCCCCGAGGGGAGCGCGCCAAAGGACCACTCCAGGAGGAGCGAGGGGGCCCTGGCGGCGGCCCTTCAGCGACGCCAGGGGCGGGGCCGGGCTGGCAGAGAGGACGGGCGGGGCCGGGCTGGGCCTGGCAGGGGGGGGGCCGACGCACCAGAAGCTTCCTAGAGGGGGCCGGAGCAGCTGGGGTCGGGGCATCGCGCCGCGTGGCCGATGCATCGGCGATGCACCGGCGATGTCTCGGCGACGCGGGCGACGCATGGGCGACGCCGGCGCGGAGAATGTCGGGCTCCACATCAGATCGCCGATGCGGCGCGGTCCCCCGAACCCATTGAGCGTTGCTTAATGGGAGGGCGGGAATGGGGGGGGTGAAGAAAGGCACTGGGGAGGAGGAGGAGGAGGAGGAGGAGGAGGAGGAGGAGGAGGAGGAGCAGGAGGAGGAGGAGGAGGAGGAGGAGGAGGAGGAGGAGGAGAAGCGGGGACCCCTGCAGGTCCGGCGACACGATCAAACGCAGCATCGTGAGGCATCACGGCCAGAGCCCTGGATCCCACACGAGCGACGAAAAGAAACGGGACTTGCGCATGATGACAGAGCGACCTTACGCGGTGGCGTATGCGGGCCGCCATCGCGGCACGCCGCATTGGAAGCGAGGGCGTTTACGCGCGCATCTTGCACGCCAGTGTCGGTGAAGCCGGCCCCGTTTGTCTACGCCGCTCACCTCTCTGCGGCATTTCTCTCGAGCCGCACCGATCATGGTACCGCCCACGCGCAAGAGCAGGTCCCGTGCAAGAGTGACCTTTGGGGTGCGTAGCTTCTGGGAGCCGCGGGGGGGACCTGTTCAAGCGCGCAGGACCATGCTGGGGCTACCCCTGTGGGCCAGCACCCAAAATCACTCCAGCGAAAGGTCAACTGTCACTCTGATGCGTAGCCGATGCGGCGGCCCCGGGGCCCGCCACGGGGCGAAGACGCCCAGCGTGAAACCAACCAGTGCACGCCGGTCGGAAGCAGGTAAAATTATGAAGCAGGACGGCGGATAAAGTAGATTGGGTCCAGGCCCTCCCAGAAAGTGACAGAACACAGCAGCGGCAGATCGGTTCTTGAAGTAGGGAGGCGCTTGCAATAGATTGGGATCTGGGAATCCAGTCATACCAACTTTCGACGACCGGCGCGCGCCGAGCTCACGAGCAGACCGGGCCAGCGAGGGAGGGGGGCAGAGGGCGAGAGGCGGGCGGAGCTGGCCGACAGGGGCGCGGCCGGGGCGAGGGGGCGGCTCTCGGGAGGGCCCGACCCTCCGCCGACCTGGGGCTTTTCATCTGCGGCCCCAGGGTGCCCGACCCCTTCCATTTTCATCAGCAGACGTCGCGATCCCTAACCACTGCAAATCAAAATGGTCTATTGGTGAGGCTTGCTGCGAGATTCGGCCTTCCTCCTCCGAACGTCGGAGCGACCCCGATTCAAAAGTACCGCGCAACGCACCGCCCACTAACGACGAGGGGGCGGACGATCGGCGTCTCAATCTATGCACACGGAGAGAACCTTTAAAACAATATCCCAGCGAAGGGGGCGGTGCCGCAGCTCCGCGCGCGCGCCGCCCGAATCGATCTGGCAGGGTCGGATGAGGCGGGGGCGGAGGAGGAGGCGGAGGATGAGGAGGCGGAGGAGGAGGAGGAGGCGGAGGAAGAGGAGAAGGAGGAGGAGGAGGAGGAGGAGCAGGAGGAGGAGGAGGCAGAGGAGGAGGAGGAGGAGGAGGAGGAGGAGGAGGAGGAGGAGGAGGCGGAGGAGGGGGGGGAGGAGGGGGAGGAGGCGGAGGAGTGAGGAGGAGGGGAGGATGAGGAGGAGGAGGAGGAGGATGTAGGAGGAGCAGGAGGAGAGGACGAGGGAGAAGAAGCAGGAGAAGCAGGAGGAGAGGAGGAGGAGGAGGAGGAGGAGGAGGAGGAGGAGGAGAGGAGGAGGAGGAGGAGGAGGAGGGAGGAGGAGGAGGAGGAGGAGGAGAGGGGGGGTGAGGAGGGGTGAGGAGGAGGAGGAGGAAGGGAGGAGGAGGAGGAGGAGGAGGAGGAGGAGGAGGAGGAAGGAGGAGGAGGAGGAGGAGAGGAGGAGGAGGAGGAGAGGAGGAGGAGGAGGAGGAGAGAGGAGGAAGAGGGGGAGGAAGGAGCGAGGGGGAGGGAGGAGGAGGAGGAGGAGGAGGAGGAGGAGGAGGAGGAGGAGGAGGAGGAGGAGGAGGAGGAGGAGTGGGGGTCGGAGCAGGGCCGCTGTCCGACGAGAGCTGCCGAGAGGCCGCGCAGGGCGAGGGCGCGAGGCGCAGCGTGCAAACGCCAGCGTGGCGGGGTCGGAGCAGGGCCGCTGTCCGACCCGAGCTGCCAGGTGGCCGCGCAGGCGATGGCGCGCGGCGCAGGCGTCCCTCCTCCAGCTCCCTCCTCCTCCGCCTCCTCCTCCTCCTCCTCCTCTCCTCCTCCTCCTCCTCCTCCTCCTCGGCCTCCTCCTCCTCCTCCTCCTCCTCCTCCTCCTCCTCCTGAAGCCTCGCCAGGCCCTGTTCTCCTCACCTCGCCTCCGTGTCGTCGTCGCCCGGCAACTTGTCCGCGACGTCATCCGCGCCATCTTGGGCGTCGTCGACGACCTTGTCCGCATCCGTCGTCGACTTGTCCGCGACGTCATCCGCGGCATCCTGTGCGTCGTCGACGACCTTGTCCGCGTCCGCCGTCGCGTCACCGCCCGGCAACTTGTCTGCGACGTCATCCGCAGCATCCTGGGCGTCGTCGACGACCTTGTCCGCATCCGCAGTCGCGTCACCATCTGGCAACTTGTCCGCGACGTCATCCGCAGCATCTTGGGCGTCGTCGACGGCCTTGTCCGCGTCCGCCGTCGCGTCACCGCCCGGCAACTTGTCCGCGACGTCATCCGCAGCATCTTGGGCGTCGTCGACGACCTTGTCCGCGTCCGCCGTCGCGTCACCGCCCGGCAACTTGTCCGCGACGTCATCCGCAGCATCTTGGGCGTCGTCGACGACCTTGTCCGCGTCTGCCGTCACGTCACCACCTGGTAACTTGTCCCCGACGTCATCCGCAACATCTTGGGCGTCGTCGACGGCCTTGTCCGCATCTGCCGTCGCGTCACCATCCGGCAACTTGTCTGCGGCGTCATCCGCAGCATCTTGGGCGTCGTCGACGACCTTGTCCGCATCCGCCGTCGCGTCACCACCGGGCAACTCGTCCGCGACGTCATCCGCAGCATCTTGGGCATCGTCGACGACCTTTCGGGCTGGGCGAAAGGGGGGATAGCAAAGGGGGTGTTTGAGAGTCAGCTCACGTAGCTGATTTCCCCGCCGCCTCCCTGCGCCGGCAGGCGCCGCCCATGTATCGAGGAGTGGGCCCGGCGGCGGGGCCGAAGCCAGCTGCATGCAGCCGATTTCGTACCCCCCCCTTTGCCTAACTATCCCCCCCCTTCGTTCGGCGCGAACCTTGTCCGCATCCGCCGTCACGTCACCACCCGGCACCTCGTCCGCGACGTCATCCGCAGCATCTTGGGCGTCGTCCACGACCTTGTCCGCATCCGCCGTCGCGTCACCGCCCGGCAACTTGTCCGCGACGTCATCCGCAGCGTCTTGGGCCTCGTCGACGGTCTCGTCCGCAGCATCTTTCATGTCGTCTACAGGGTTGCCCGAATCGACCAAAGTTGTCGCGCCCCGGATCCGGACAGATGCCCTGCTCCCGCTCTGCCCGTGCGACGCCACGCTCAGGGACGCCAGTGCCAGGATCGTTCCGCAGGAGACTGCCAGCATCAACGTGTGCGTCAGCTTGCGCGCGAAGAGGGGCTGGCGCTGCGTGGGCCGATCTGTGTCGTCGCGGAACCCGTGGAGCAGCTCCGTGTCGGAGTGGCACTGCATGTGGACTGACATGACTGCTGCCTCGAGGCTGCTTCTGGGCCTCTCCGCCACCTCTGACTGCAATTAGCCTTTTCGGGCGCGCGCGTCTCGAACCCGAAAGACTTGAGCCAAACTACGGGGTTGTCTGTCGCACCGGGCCTAATTTTTCCGTGGCCCCAGGGGCCTGAGCCCCCATCAATCCGAAAAGGAAAAACAACGCCTGGATTGAAAACGACATATGGCGGGTTCTGGAAACCCTGAACCAAAACGTATGTCCATCTCTTAGGCGCGCATCTTTTGCTTCCGTCGTCTTCCGCCGGCCTTCCGCCAGCGGAGGCGGCCTCGTTTTCCTTTCGCCAACTTCCGCCGGCCTTCCGCCAAGGAAGAGATGCCAACTCCTTCGATCCTCGAAGGCAAGGCCCTATTTCTGGAGCGCCCCGTGTCGCCAGAGATCTGGGCATGGGCTCGGAGTTATTCGTGTGGCGGTCTTCCCGTTCGGCAGCGGCAGCTGTGCTCCGCCAGCATCCCTGGCCACGGCCGTCTTTGGAGCCCCAGGATGGTGCAATGCAGTCTCCTGGCATCCATCTGGCGAGGCTTTACGCTCGGGCCCAGGCGTGGCCCTGGACAATGATGGTCCCTGAGGCCCGACGTTGCGAACACAAATGCAGCATCGCAAGACATCGCGACCCAAGCCCCAAGTTTACTATCTTCAGTGGAAAAAAACCCAATCAACGAAACATCCCTGGACAACCCCTCGGACAACGCGGACAACTCATGCTGTTTACCAACGACGAGACGACCTACCACGGAGAACCCCTTGGACAACCCAGCGGGGATCCGGACAAGCCACCTGGTACAAGCCTACCTGGCATTTTTCCTCCAGACGATCTAGGTGGACCCAATCTTTCTGCGACATTTTTCGAGCCATACCGATCTGTGATGGTTCCGGGGGCCCCAAATGCTGGGAGACCCTCCTCCCGTGGTAGAACATGCAGCGCCCGGGTACTTCCCAGGGGCAGTGGTGCCCAGCTGCCCAGCGGCAGGCCTGACCGCCCGACCTCGACCTGGGCCCAAGCGCGGAGCTGTGCCCAGACATGCGGCGCCCTTTCGTTCCACACGGCGCTCCCGGAAGCCCCCGACCCTATCTCGAGGGGGCACCGCTCGAGAGGGGGGCCTGGCACACGGGGGCGGGGGGGGGCCCCACGGACTTCGGACCCGCTCGGGTTGCTGCACGAGGAGGAGTAGTAGGAGGAGGAGGGGGAGGAGGAGGGGGAGGAGGAGGAGGAGGAGGAGGAGGAGGAGAGGAGGAGAGAAGGAGGAGGAGGAGGAGGAGGAGGAGGAGGAAGGGGAGGAGGGGGAGGAGGGGAAGGAGGGGGGGACGCGTCGACCCGGCATCGGCGATGGAGCTCGCCGCTGGACGGCGGCAGGGCCCCGCTGGTGAACCCGCACGCTCCCTGGGCAGGCTGGGGCCCTCGGGCCCCTCTCGGCGATCCATGGGCGATTGTGGCTCGGTGCATATCCCCCTCCCCTGTGCCTCTCCCTCCCTAGCCTGTTTGCCACCGACACCACCACGAGGAGGCGGGGGAGGAGGCCCTCCTCCTCCTCCTCCTCCTCCTCCTCCTCCTCCATCTCCTCCTCCTCCTCCCCTTCCTCCTCCTTCCCCCCTCTAACTTCTGGTGGTGGGGGTTGGTGGACGACAGCCCATCACCTGTCGCTGCCCCTGATCTCCTCCCAAGGCCGGTGCTTGCTCCGGCGTCGCCTCCGGACGGTCCCAGGCCCGGGCGCGCGAGGCCTCCCTTCATAGGGGCCGAGAAGGGCCCCAAAGCGCCTCCCGGCGCTGGTTGGGCACGATGCGAGCATGATGTTTTTGCCTGGTTGTGGTGGCATCTGACAACGGTCGTCTCCCGGGGTGTGCAGTAGGAGCCCGACCACAACAAAAACCTTCCACGAGAAACCCGACCCCGAACCCCCAGGACGTCCATCGATTTCTGGTGCGGGAGCGTCACATGTTCCATCGCAAAACCATGGGAACCCAAGAAACCCAGGGCACTCTGGAGGCAAGCAGGGTGTTTTTCTTGGCATGGGTATCCACTGTAACAATCGTTTCGTGGGGGGGTGGAACGGTGACGCTTGGGCGGGGTGGGGCACGTTCAGGCGGGGGTGCGCTGCGATCGCCATCATGCGCGCGCACCAGCATGTGGGGGGGGTCCCAGGCCTCCGCCCCCAGCGTACGATCGTTACCATTACCCGGGTAGCAACCGTTACGCACCAGATGGTAATCGAAACAATCTCAGCAAGACCGGCGGGAGGCGGCAAGGCGAAGGCAAGACGAGGTAAAAATCCGCCAAAGGTGAATCGGGCGTTTCTCTGAGGCCCAGCTGGCCTGGAGAATTTGCGTGCCAGGAGACACGGATGCGCTCCAGAGAGCGCTTTAGAACGCCCTGAGCGGATGATCTGTTATTTTCGATGCGACGGTCCCGACTCCTTCCCCTATCAAGGGTAACATTTCAGCCTGGATCCGGCTCGCATGGCTCCGGGGGCCAGTTATCACGGCCTCCGGAAGCCGCATGCAATCCAGGAGAAACGTCGGGACTGGATTAGTCATGTCTTCGCAGATCCCTAGGCATGGAGGAGGGGAAGGAGGAGGAGGAGGAGGAGGAGGAGGAGGAGGAGGAGGAGGAGGAGGAAGAGGGGAGGAGGAGGAGGAGGAGGAGGAGGAGCAGGAGGAGGAGGGGGGAGGAGGGGGAGGAGGAGGGGGAGGAGGCGGAGGAGGGGGAGGAAGTGAACGTAACTTGAGCGGAGGAGGGGCGGAGGGAGGAGAGGAGGAAGAGGAGGAGGAAGAGAGGAGGAAGAGAGGAGGAGGAGGAGGGGAGGAGGGGGAGGAGGAGGGGGAGGAGGGAGGAGAGGAGAGGAGGAGGAGGAGGAGGATGAGGGGGAGGAGGAGGAGGAGCAGGAGGAGGAGGAGGATGAGGAGGAGGGGGAGGAGGACGAGGAGGAGGAGGAGGAGGAGGAGGAGGAGGAGGAGGAGGAGGTGGAGGAGGAGGAGGAGGAGGAGGAAATCCGCTCGGGGTACTTGGAAATCCCGACCCTTGGCTCAAGGCCGGCCGGCCCGGGCGCCCTGTTTTGACGGCCCCAGGGCCTGGCGAGGGCCCCCAGAGGCCGACAAGCGGCCCAGAGGCCTCCCGTCGTGACCACTCCACAGCGCGAGCACGCCTGGACCTGGGGAGCGACTTGCGCTCATCCCAGGCCGCGCCCCGAAGCGCGGAGGGCGGGTACGTACGGCAACAATGATACAATGCCCAACAACGACACATGCTGTCCCAAGCTGATAGCGGCGGCTGTTGGGCAGGCGGCGGTGGGTCTTTGACGGGCAGTGTCCGCTGCGACGCCGACAGCGAAGGCGGTTCAACATGAACCTGAACAGCTGTCGGTCTTCGTGCTCATTCGTCCCGTACCCATTTCGATCGTAGCGAGCCGCGGGAGGCGCGCGCGCGCGCCCCCACCCTCGCCCGGGAGGACCAGGACGGCCGGGGCGACCGCAAGGAGGCCGGCCGCGAGGCCGACCAGCTGCAGGCTCCTGTAGAGGCCTCCCAGCTGGGATCTGAGCAGACGGGGTCGAAGGATCGCGCCGCACGGCCAATGCATCGCCGATGCATCGGCGATGCCTCGGCGATGCCTCGGCGATGCCTCGGCGATGCCTCGACGATGCCTCGGCGATGCTCCGGGCCCCGGCTGCTCGGGCCCCACCAAGGGAGGCCTGCAGGGCGAGGGGGCCTGGGCGTACTCGCGCGCCCGCGCCGCGCTACGCGGGGGCGGCGGGCAGGACGGCTCCCGGAGGCTCGGGGGGGCGAGGGGGATCCAGGCACGCTCTCGCCGCGAGGGGATCGCGACGACGACGACGACAGCGGCGGCGACGACGACGACAGCGGCGGCGACGACGACGGCGGCGACGACGACGACGACGACGACGACGACGACAGCGGCGGCGACGACGACAGCGACGTGTGGCGCTCATCGGCCCCTGAAGGCCCTCGCCCGACCCTTGAAGCCGTCCAGAAACACAGCCCGGGAGGAAACGCCGGCCCTGTATGGGGAGAGGGCCGGGGCTTCCAGGGACCCCGTAGTGAACAATCGGGGCGTCGCAAGTCTGGGGAGGGTGAGGGAGCGAGTCCCTTGTCCTGCTCGAGGGGGCTCGATGCGACGCGGTGTGAGCTCCGACGCCGCCAGCGTGCTGTCCCGTCCTGGGCCACGTTGGCGTCGCGAGCTATTGCGCGGACCCTCCCCCGTCCCCCCAACGAGAGAGTGATAGAGAGAGGGTGAGCGAGAGAGAGAGAGAGAGAGAGAGAGAGAGCGAGAGAGAGAGAGAGAGAGAGCGAGCGAGAGAGAGATGGCTAGAGAGGGAGGTATGGGGAGAGATGGAGACACACTCAGAAAGGTCGACTGCACGCAACACAGTCAGGCTTCCTGTCTGGAAGCGGGCTTCGCAACCGAGACGGAGGCTGACATCTGTACGCCCAGCGATCCTTCGGGAAGAGACGGGGAAGAACACATAGGACCGATGCACACATCTGTATGCACATTTTCGTAAGCCATATGCACTACAACAAAATAGTAGTCAGCGAGAAGAGCTATATGGGAGAGTTGGGAAATACACATCGACACATCGATATACCTATATCTAGATCTGTATCTATATATACATATAGGGAGAGAGAGAGAGAGAGAGAGAGAGAGAGAGAGAAAGAGAGAGAAAGAGAGAGAGAGAGAGAGAGAAAGAGAGAGAGAGTGATAAATAACTAGAGAGAGAGAGAGAGAGAGAGAGAGAGAGAGAGAAAAAGAAAAGAGAGAGAGAGAGAGAGAGAGGAGAGACCTCTCTCATGTTTGTTTCCTGTTCTCTCTCTCACTCTCTCCAGGTATCGACACATACACATTACACACGGCTGCTGCGAGTGTGCGCGTGGAGCAGGCCAGAGTCGAGAGAGAAGACGATCGCTTATGCCTCCCCTGCCCGCTGCGCTCCCCCTCCTGGGCGTTTGGGCACCGTGCGGCAAACCCCTGCAGTGATGGCGTGGGCTCTGTGGGTAACGCACACGGACGCACACACACAACCTGTGGAGCAACATACGCGCACGGTGGAACACTCACACAAACAAACACACACACATACACACAGGCACACAGGCACACACACACCACACACCACACACACACAACACACACAAACACGCACAAACACGCACACAAACACATGCACAGACGCACGCACGCACGCACGCAGACACGCACGCACGCACGCACACACAGATAGACAGACAATTAGAACGACACAGACACACGCACACTCGCACACACGCATGCACGGACACACGCGCACACACAAGCACACAAAGCCACAAACACACAAGCACACGCACAAGCAGACGCACACAAGCACACACACAAGCACACAACCACACACACACACCCACGCACACACAGGCACAGACGGACACACAAACACAGACACAGCCCGGCACACACACAGACACAGACAGAACACACACAAACACAGACGGAACACACACACACACGCACACGCACCCCCCCTCCACACACACACGCATACACACACACGCACGCACGTACGCACGCACGTACGCACGCACGCACGCAGCAGGCACGCACGCGAACGCGCACGCGCATGCGCACGCGCACGCGAACGCGAACGCGCACGTGCACGCGCACACGCACACGCACGCGCACACGCCCATGCACCCGCACACGCACACGCGCACACCCACACACCCACACACCCAGACACCCATACACCCACGCATTCATACACCCACACACCCACGCACCCACACACCCACACACCCACACACCCACACACCCACACACGCACACACCCACACACTCACACACCCACACACCCACACACGCACACACCCACACAGCCACACACCCACACACCCACACAACCACACACACACACCCACCCACCCACTCTACTCACCCACCCGCCCGCCCGCCCGCCCGCCTGCACGCACGCACGCACACACCCACACCCACGCGCACACGCGCACACGCGAACACGCGCACACGCGCACACGCGAACACGCGCACACGCGCACACGCGCGCACGCGCACACGCGCACACACACACACCCGCTCGCACCCGCACGAACCCGCCCGCACCCGCACGAACCCGCCCGCACCCGCACGCACCCGCACCCGCACGAACCCGCACCCGCACGCACCCGCACGCACCCACACGCACCCGCACGCACCCGCTCGTACCCGCACGCACCCGCAAGCACCCGCACGCACCCGCAAACACCCGCACGCACCCGCACGCACCCGCACGCACCCGCACACACCCGCACCCGCACGCACCCGCACGCACCCGCACACACTCGCACGCACCCGCACGCACCCGGCACGCGCACGCACCTACACGCACCCGCACGCACCCGCAGGCACCCGCACGCACCCGCACGCACCGGCACGCACCCGCACGCACCCGCACACACACACGCACCCGCACGCACCCGCACCCGCACACACCCGCACGCACCCGCACGCACCCGCTCACAGACGCACACACACACGCACACACGCACACACATGCACACACACGCACATACACGCACACACGCACACACACGCACACACACACGCACACACAACACGCACACACACACACACACGCACACACAAACGCACAGACACGCACAACACACACACACGCACTCACACACACACACATGCGCACACGCACGCACACACACGCATTCTCACTCGCACACACGCACACACACGCACACACACACACACACGCATGCACACGCATACACACGCACGCACACGCACGCTCACACACGCACACGCACACGCACGCACACGCACACACACGCACACACACAAACGCTCATAGACCCTACACACACCCCACACCCTCCCCTCCCCCCCCCACACACACAACACACACACACACGCAAACACGCACACACGCACACACACACACACACGCACACACGCACACACGCACGCACGAACGAACGCACGCACAACACACACACACACACGCACGCACGCACGGACGCATGCACGCACGCACGCACATACACACAAACACAAACACAAACGCACACACACACACACATTCCACACACATACACACACCACACACACCACACAGACACACACACACACCACACACACACCACACAAACACCCCCAACACACACCCATATACACACTCACACACATACACACACACATCAACACACATACATACACACATAAACACACACATACACACACCCACACACCCACACACACACCCACACACACACGCACACGCACACACACACACGCACACACATACACACTCACTCACACACATACAAACAGAGACACCACACACACCACCCACACACACCACACACGCACCACACACCACACACCACACACCACACACCACCACGCACCACGCACCACACACGACACACAACAGAACACAGAGCACATAACACAGAACACATAACACATAACATACAACACCCAACACACACACCACACACACACGCACTGTGTGTGTTTTTGTTCCGCAGTGTGTTCTTTTTCGCTTTGTGTGTGCTTCGTGTGTTTTTTACACAGCTGTTTTGTTGTTGTTGTCGTTGATGGTGTTGTGTATATGTGTGTGTGTCTGTGTATGTGTGTGTGTGCGTGTGAATTGTTTCACATGTTTGTTTGTTTGTGTTTATGTGTTTTTGTTTGTGCTTTCGTGAGAGACGGTTTCTGTCGCCGCCGGACGCGTCAAGCGTGGAACGACATCTGCCGCTGGGGGCCTTCCGCCCATGAGTGCCTGCGCCCGCGCTGCCGCCGCGCCGAGACAGCACGACCCTACAACTTGTCCTGATAGGGGTCCAGGCCTCATCAGGAGCTCGTGACGTCAACGCTGCGTCCACGCGGTGTCCTGGCGGAGCTCGAACCTCGGACCCGTCGTTGCCCCTGACGCCGCCCCCGTCGAGCCAATTCCCCCCCTGTCGTTGTCCCTGACCTCCCGCTGACCCGCCGCCCCACTCCCCCCCCCCCACCCGCGGCGCGCGCCTGCGGCGCGCGGCTGGCCACACGCGTCGGACAGGTCCTGAGAGTTCCTCTCAGGGCTCCCGGGCGGAGCCCTGGGCCCGGATTCCCAAGAATCTGTTTTGCTTGTTGCAGTCAGCCCGTCTAGTAAGGACGCACGAGAAGAATTCCAGGGCCACGGGGCGCGGCCGGCGAAAGCGGCCGAGGTTGGCTGCGTGGCTTGTTTTTGTTTCACAGTTGCCCGAGGCGTGGCCAAGCCCCTCTCCACGCGCGGCGACTCCTCTTGTGTGAACGCTCCACACAAAACAGCACATCGCCAGATTTGCATGATCTGCGCTGCCCTTACCTCCGCCGTGCCTCCCAGGAGCCCACCAAAGTTGCGGCAATTGCGCCCTTCGCAGCCCCCGGGGGAGCCACCAAGTCGCTGCCCTCACCTCCGCCGTGACTTTCAGGCGCCCACGGAAGTGCAGCCCCCGAGGGGCCCGCGAGGTGACAAGCGGACCTGCGCTTCCCTCCCCTCCACCGAACCTCCCAGAAGCCCACGGCAGTGGCGACAGTTGCGCAGAAGGTAGGAAAAAGGGGGAGGAGGCGGTCCTTGGAGACAACGGTGCCCTATTCGAAACGAGAAGCCAACATAGTAGGGTTGGGGGAACATTACACCGGAATGTACCCAACCCTTTCTACGAAGATCTTGTCATGGGGAACCTCTTCTGGTGGCAAGAGAGCCGACGCACATTGCATAGGATGCTTACGATTAGCTCACCCTGGCTCCGACTGACTCCCCATAGCTTCGACTTCGATTGCAGTGTCTCACCAAGGTGGGAGCCTGGCCATGCAGTTCTTCTTGCCTGGGGCAGTGCTGGTGGCTGCAGAGGAGTGGGCTCCTCCTCGTATTCTACACAACTCTTCGCCTCACGCCACTTACAGCGGCCGTCGGGGGACGAGGCGATCCTTGAGGTCGACCTCTCCCGGTGGTGGGACTCTGCTGGCAGTGCCATGATTTCGTGTTCATCACGCAGGCCGTGTGCACTTGCCTACGGGCTTTGGTTGGCCAAACATGTACAACCATACGAGGGGAGGGTTCAGCCGGTGATCCTTACAGAGATTCTCTGCAACCCTTGCCGCCGTGTGGCGGGGCTTCTCTGGACCGGCGCCTCCAATCACGTTGGACACAATCGAGTATCATTGCGGCCGGCAGGCGAGACCCCGAGGGTTCACCTCCCGTCGGCACGGCCCCTGCGAGGGCGGGTGCGCGGCGTCGGGGTCTCTGGGCCTCCGCTCCGCTATCGCCACCTTGCGGCCGCCGTGTGCTTCGACCTCATCTTGTACAGCGTCCTGCTTGTACATATCCTTGAAGCACATTTTGTCTTCAACGTAGGGTCCCCGTCACTCTGGCTGCGTTGGGACGCAACCTTGGCGGCTTGAACCAGGACCGCCAAATGCCAAACTATTACATGAACGTGTGTGCAGTCATGTGGAACACTCCGCCACGGGGGGCGAGATCTCGGCCGGGTCTGCGTATTCCTCCACTCCGCCGTGCCCCCCAGGAGCCCAGAAAGCGGAAACAGCTGCGCAGCTCGCAGCCCCAAGGGAGCCGCGAGGTCTCGGCTGGGCCTGCGTGCTCTCCCGCTCCACGGGACCTCCCAGGGGCCCGCGAGAGTGGCGACGGGTGCTCAGCTTGCAGCCGCCCGGCGAGCCGCGAGGCCTCGGCCGGGTGCGCGTGGACCTCCGCTCCGCTGGGCCCCCCACGAGCCCACGAAGGTGGCGACGGGTCAGCACCTCGCAGCCCCCCCAAGGATCTGCGAGACATCGGCTGGGCCCGATACCGCCCCTCTCCGCCGGGCCTCTCGGGTGCCCACGAGCGTGGAAGCACCTGCGCCATTCCCAGCCACCCGGAGATCCGCGAGGTCTCGGCTGGGTGCGCGAGTAAACCTCCGCTCCGCTGGAGCTGCCAGGAGCCCACGAAGGTGTCGACGGTTGCGCACTTCGCAGCCACCCATGAGGACGCGAGGTCTCGGCTGGGTGCGCGCACACCTCCACTCCGATGATGTCCCAGGAGCCCATGAAAGTGGAGACAATTGCGCACTTCGCAACCACCAGATGAGCCGCAAGGTCTCGGCTGGGTGCGCGTACACCTGCACCCCGCTATCCGCTAGACCTCCCAGGAGCACACGAGCGTGGCGACAATTGCATACTTCGCAGCGCCCCCGATAGCCGCGAGGTCTCAAAGGGATCCCCGCTGCCCTCACCTCCGCCGTGACTCCCAGGAGCCCACGACAGTGGCAACAATTGCGCAGTTCGCAACCCCCGAGGGAGCCGCGAGATCGCAAATGGATCGCCACTGCCCTCACCTCCGCCGTGCCTCTCAGAAGCCCGCGAACGTGGCGAAGGTACGACACATGGGGGCAAGGAGGCAGGAGGAGAGGGGATGAGTCCGGGATGAGGGTGGAGGCAGGAGGAGGAGGGGGTAGGAGGAGGAGGAGGAAGAGGAGGAGGAGGAGGAGGGGAGGAGGAGGGGGGGAGGAGAGGAGAGGAGACCACGGCGCTCTAGTCAAGACGAGAACCCAACCAAGTGAGGGTTGGGAAAACCGTCGACCACGCACACTCAGCACGCACGAGGCCTCCCTGGGCGAGGCTGCTCCGGGCTTGAAGCGGCATCAGGAGGCGAACAGACGAGCAACAACGTCCCAGACAAGGGGAGTTCCTCCACCAGCGGCCCAGTGTGTAGAGCGGCGCCAGATTTTGGGTGCTCACCCCGCAGAACGCATGACGAAGTGCAACGGCGTCCATGATCGCACCTGTCGAAGAGGGAGTGAAGGGGGAAGGGATCGTCGAGGGAAAGGACATGGGACACGGCGGGCATGAGTTGGAGTGGGATAGGGAGGTGGGGAGGTGGGGATGGTTGCGAAGGGTGAAAGGTGAAAGCCTTAGAACCCTGTGGAACTGCCACTCGTCCTCCTCGAATACCCTACCTGCTCCCCCAACGCCCTCTGAAACCAGTTCCTCCCGCAACGCCTCCTAGATCCCCATCGAACGCGCTGACTACTGTACCACCTTCTCGAACTTCTCATCCCCCTCCCCGACCACCCTGAACCCCCCTATCCTCCCCAGCATCTCCTTTCCTAGAGTCCCATGGCAGAACCTTCTCCTCCTCCTCCTCGTCCTCCGCGCCCTCCTCCTCCCCCCTTTTCTTCCCCCCTCTTCCCCCTCCCCTCTTCCTCCTCTCCTTCCTCTGCCCCCTCGGGGAGGGCGGGTGTGGGCCCTCCCATCCATCTCCCGATCGCCCCCCTCTTGAAGCGTGCGCTGGCTCCTGCCCTGGCGATGGCCGCCCAGGGAGGTCGCCGCCTGGCCGTGCGGGCGGAGGCGGGGGGAGGGCGGACAAGGGGCAGGCGGGCAGGCAGACGGGCAGCAAGACCGAACCAGGGCCGCGCCAGAGGCCGTCGGAGGCTCCGGCGGCCCCCCTGGGGCCTTCGGAAGCTGTGCCCGGGGCGGGAAGCCAGCAAGGGTGGGCCCGATGGGGGGCGGATTTAGGGGGCCAGGTTCGAGGGGAGCTTCTAAAAGCATGCGATGCCCAGAGGTTTCCAGTGCGGGGTGCCCAGAAGTCCCGGACCTCTGGTCTTTCGCCCAGGGCCGCCTTTTGAAGGCCCCGGGGCAAGGCGAGGGCCCCCAGGGGCCGGACACGGCCAAGAGCCTGCCGTCGTCAGTTTCTCACAACGCCAACATGTCTGGGGGGGGATCCTGGAGGCCAATTTCGATCGGATCTTGCCATGGCTCTGACGTCCGTTCCCGTGCATGTCTCGGTGTCGTGCGCTCTTATGCCGCCATGTGATCCAATGTGCTCCTCGACTCGATGGCCCTCGCCCAAGAGATGCACACGTCCGGGCGACGCCAGAGGGGGATCTGGCCATCGCTCGGACGTCCATTTCCCGTGTTTTTTTTTCGGTATCGTGCGTGGTTTCTTCGCCAGATGATCGAGGATGCTCCTCGATGGTCCTCGCCGACGGAAACATGCACACGTCCGAGCGATGCCAGGGGGGATCTCCGGGGCCCCCCGCTGAGCCGCGCGCGGCGCGAGGCCGAAAGCGCGAGGCCGCATCCCCGCCGTCGCATCCTCGCGCCGCCCCCGGCTGCAGAAGAGCAGGTCGGCCCTCCCCCGGAGCCGTCGTGGCGCGCACGTCGCGGCCCTCGTCGCGCCGCCGTGGGCGGGCCCAGGGACAAACACAAAGAAATACACACACGCACGAATCCCAGGATTTCCCCTATTTTCCAGTCTTTTCTGGGTCTTCGTCCCCCCCCCCCAGGTCTCTTTTTTCCCACTTATTTTCCTGGGAATCGACGATTCATTGTGTCCGTGTGTGTGTGTGTGTGTTTTAATCCCTTTTTGGAATGAAACCCTGCCAGGGGGAGGGAGAGCCGAAGCCTCGGCTTCGGCGCGGCACGCCTGGGCGCGCCGGCGCCGCAGCACACAACCACCACGGTACAGGCAACCCGTGTCGTGAGGACGCACGGTGAGGACGCAGAAGGGCCCTGGAGTCACGTTGCTCCCGTCGTACTTAAGGACCACATCCCAGAAATAATTTCGAGCACCCGGAAAAGTGTCGAACGAGTGTTGAAACAGTGTCGAAACAGTGTCGGGCGAGTGTCTCCCAGGGCCCGACACGTGAACACCCGCGGGTTCCAGTTCTTTTTTGGTGATCGAAATTCTTTCTGGTGGTCAAGGCTAAAGTAGGTTGGAACATCAAAACCTTGGAGGGCCATGTTCGCGTTTTTCGAACGATTTGGACGTCCGAAGTGGGCAAGGCTAAAATAAGCACAATGCCAAACAACAAGTATCGTCCTAAATAGAAAGCGGCCGCTGTTGGGCTGGCGGCTCCTTGTCTTCAATGAACAGCGTCCGCGACGGCGCGGACGGCGAGTCCTGCTCAAAATGAACAGGCACTGCTGTTGGGCATCGTGCCCCACCTTTCCGTACCCATTTCGAACGTCCCGAAACGATGTTGGCCAGCGACGGTCGCTGAGGACGGGCCGGAGGGGCAAGGATGCAAGGGCACCCTTGGGAAGGATGCCCATCCTTGCTGCGCGGGTTGACGGCAGTTCTGCTGCCAATTTCCTGAGCGTTGGGGGCCCTCGACCCCTCCGCGCTGGGCGACAGGAGGGAGGGGTACCCTGACGCCGCGACCAGCCCCAGGCCGGCCTTCGCAGCGGTGAGCTTGGCTATCGCGTGGGCGCCCACGGTCGCGGGCACGCACTTCTTGCCGTCCTGCCGTGGCGAGGAGACGGAGGAGGAGGAGAAGGAGGAGGAGGAGAAGGAGGAGGAGGGGAGATGGAGGAGGATGAGGAGGAGGAGCCGCAGGGGCACGACCGGGCGGATGCCGAGGAGGGCGACCCTGAAGTCCGATCGTGGCACCGTTTCCACGCAGGGCGTCTTCGCCCGCTTCGGACCCTATAGGGCCCCTTTCGGATCCATCCGGCTCGAAGAGTGCGGCGGGAAGGTGGGGCGGAGGTCTCCGGTCGTGGCTCTGCGTGGCGTTGTCGTTTTTTTCGCAACGTCGGAGCTCATGAGCATGAAGATATCCACAGGGAGAGAGGAGAGAGGGAGCGGCGATCAGGAGTCATGAGCAGTGACGAGCGCACGGGAAGTTCCAAATAAGGTACCCTACTCACGGCGAAGCAGACCTAGAACTCGGCGCAACGAGGGCCGCGAGCTTGCGCGCGTCTGAGAGGCACAGGCGGGAGATCACCCTGACTGGCATTTTCTGCATGTCCTCGTCAGCCTACCTACCAGACCACCCTAACCCAACCCGAAGACCCGAATTTGACCAGAATTTCGGGTTGGGGGGGGGTACAGGTTCCATGTGCTCTTTCAATGTTCCCCGACCCTCCTCACTGGAAATGGAGGGCAAATTGAGACCTTCGGGTTGGGTTGGGGTGGTTTGGTGGGTGGTGATTGTCTCCTTCGCTCCCTCCCTTGCCCTTCCGCTTGGCGACCTTGGCGGCGCCCTTCTGCTGCGGGGAAAGGCCCTCCGCGGCCTTCTTTTGGAGCCCTGCGTCCAGGTCGGCGTCGTCATCGTCGACGCCATCGAGACGAGAGTCCTGGATCTGAAGACGGCGCGGGCGAGGCAGGGCCGGGCCAGGTAGGTGGCTGCGCAAATCATGGCATAACGAATCGAGATCTGGTGCTTGTGAATCGCGCTCAGGACACGCCGATGACGAATGGGGGCTCCAGGGGCCGCAACGTCCACTCCCCCTCCAGATCGACAGTGCCCCCGACGAGGTGCAGCAACCAAATGCCGAGCAGCGCAAGCCCTGTCCCAGAAGGCCACCCGACAGCAGATGCAGGTATTGCGCGGCTCTGAGGCGCGGCGCACATATCGAACATCACGTCGAGAAGATAAGTGCGCCATCGAGCCCTTCCTGGTCGAAAACATTTCAGAACATCTCCCCGCCTGACGCGGGAGCGAAGCTGCAGTGGCGCCGGCAGTCCCTGGGGGTGCCTCACCAGCACCCTCAGTCTCCAACTGCCCGAAGTGTTCGGGTGGCGATATCTTGGCGCCGAAAAAGGCGGCGCGGGTGCCACTGCAATCGATGCGAATGAAGGGCGGCGCGATGCCGGGGCCCCGCGAGAGGCCTGGGCAAGCAGAAATGTCGCCTGGACGATCCTCCGCATCTCAAGCCCCCGAGCCCACTTGAGGTCCTCCACAACCCGCTTGGCCCGCGGAGGAGCCCAAGACTGGAGATGACCATTGACCAATGGGGCGCCTCTGGGATCGAACGGGGCCTGTCTGGACACGACCGCACGCAGCCGAGCGTGAGTGTCGAGTGTCGGGGCACGCAGCCCGAGACTTCCACCGCGTGAGACGACGGATGGCGAGCTCCGCGTGGGTCTTAAGGGTTCCTTTCCGTGTTTTAACGCGGCCTGAGCAGTTCGAATGCGAACGCGTCCGGCTGCAGTTGCCCAGCAGGTCCGACCTCGCATGGCCGCGCGATCAAAGTGAGCGACCGCGGCGCCCAGGCGAGCGCGCTGCCGTCGCGCGACCTCAGGCCTCGAGGCCGCGCGGAGCAAGACTCGGCACCAACGGTCGTACCATGGAGCGAACGAGTCTCCACTGCACAGGTACTTGCCAGAAGCCACCAAGCGAGTGAGGCTTGGCGCGCAGCCGGATGGCGCCTGGCGGCCTCTCGATAAAACGCCCGGGACACGGGCGAGCGCGAGGGCCCAGATGCCGAACCTCCTCCTTGATAGCTCCCGAGAGACGGGCCCGGCCAGGACCGCGGAGCCAAGCCGTGGACCCCCCCCTCCAATTAGGACGCCAACTCCGGCTTCCCCCTTGTTTTGCTCATGCCCAAAAAGTCCGAGGAGAAAGGAATCGAACCCCCATCATCAGACTGGCGCAACTTTTTGCAGGGAAAAAAAACGCCTGGCGTCTCCGTGGGCGACGGGGGGCGGGGTGTCTCAAATCACCAGCGCACTTGAAGAGGCATCAACCGACGGGCGCGTCGCCGCGCCCCGTGCGCCGCACGTGGTTCGCGGGTGCCAGCTCGAGCAGGGGCGCCGTCCACTGGCGCGCGGGTCGCTGGAGGGTCGTCGAGAAGACTGCAGCCGTGAAGAGGTCTCCCCTCACTCCGCGCACTCTCGTCTTTACTACCAAATCTCCCTCCGTGCTAGGTGGCAAAACGGCCGCGTCGCGATGCCGTTTTTTTCCGCAGTGGAACATGATCTGGGCGTTGCGTCGCCTGGCCTACAACAGGCCAGGAAAGCGGCCGAACGCGCCGCTCATACCTTCTTAAAACTAGCTCCGAAACTCCGCCCCGCATTGCGTAGCCTCCGCCCTGCCGCTTCCGATTCCGTGATCGCCCCCCTCTCTGGGTCGATGTCTCTGGGGGCCAGAGTCCTCTGGAGGGGGTTGGTTGGGCAAGAGGGTTGAGAAGAAAGACTTGCCCGCCGCTGGTAAAACGCGCGCAACTCGTTTACCTCCGTGCCCGGGCTGGGCCGACGTATGCAGGGCGCATCCGCGGCTAAGATTCCAGCGCGACGGCGCCGAGTCTGCGGCGCGAACCTTGGCGAGGGCATCGCGAAGAGCATCGGGGCATCTGACGTGCTCGGGATGCTCGCGCGTCGCCCCAAGCCCTGTTCGTCGGAACTGATTCCCCTCCCCCCGTGGGCGAAGACGCTGCCGCCGCAGCTCCAGCGGGGCGATTTCCACCGGGGCCGCTCGGCGTCTGGGCGATTTGCGAACGTGCCTCCGATAGCTTGTGGTGCCCCCCCCCCCAGGGCGAGGTCGGCGCAGTGTTCTCGAACGCGCCGAGCAGCTTCGTGGGTGGTCCCCGGGGCCAGGTCGCTTCCGGAGGCCCTCCACGAATCCCACTCGATCTGGCGCACTTCCACGCCGCCTCCCCGCCGGGCAACTTCCAGGCGCCCGGCCGCGACGGGGCCGAGGTGGGGGGGCCCCCAGACATGCGGCAGTCGCGCCTCTTGGCGGCCAACGCGGCAGCGATCGGCCCGGCGGGCCCGGCCAGTGCTCTCGGGAAGGTTGGCGCCGATCCCAGGCCCCGCGAGAGGCCTGAAGAAGGGCATCGCTCTCGGCGCGCTGATGACTCTGACGAAGGAGGCGCAGGCGACGAGAGTAACCAATCAGCTGGCATGCCAGGGCCCTCGCAGACATATTCTGCACCAACCTCGACGAGACGCTGCTCCGAAAACTCGAGCGAACTCGGCCCTCTGATGACCCGTCCTGTGGCCCTGCGTGAGGGCCGGCATGTTCCACTTTAGTGTTGGTGCCGTGACGCAGTCAGCGGGGCCCTTGGGGTAGCGCAACTCCAGGTGCAAAGGTGCATGGCCCCTGGGGGGGGCGATCTTTTTCACGTTGCAGTTTAGCCCCCAGACGACGGAGAGTGTGACGCCTAAGCCTTCGAACTGCCCATCCTCCAGGGATGAAGATAAAGCCGGTGAGAGGGGAAGGGCCATCGGGACCGTCGCCGTAGAACGTGGCCTCGAACTTGCCTGCCGTGTTGGCCGCGAGAAGATCCTGCTGACAAAGAAACTGAGCAAGTGTTTCCCCAACGCCCTTCCTCTCGCGTTCTCGAGTCCAAGTCCGTCCCGCCGATAGTCTACCGTCTACCCACTTCCCATCAATCTTGCGGCAACCGAGCCCGTCGTTGAGGTCGGCGAAAAGGTCGGTGCACACCGACGGGGCAGCTGTTCTACGCGCGCGCGCCACCAGCGAACGTGTCGATCGACGGTACTGCTATATTTGGGTCCCGCCGCTTTACTCCGAGGCTGGGGAGGACAGTAAATTATTCCAACACAGACGTCAAGAAAACCGCGTCGAACGCGAGCTGCAACAAAAACGATCAAACAGTTCAGGAAGGCTAAATGACCATGTTTCTCGTTGGAAACCTTCCACATCAAGATAACAACCCCTGCACTGTGATTGGTGAACAGACCATGTTGGACTGCTTGTTCCAATGCTAATCTCCCCGAAACACGTCGGCGAAGAACCTCGGTCGACTCCATGCAAGCATTCTGGGTGTCTGTGAGGAGGGTGACGTCAATACTCATGGTGGTGTCGGCAATCTCTTGAAAACGGCCTCCCGTAGCCCATTGTGGATTCCACCCCGCCGCCCGAAGAAACGATGTCATGGTAAGCGGCGCCCCATGGCGAATCGGCCGCGCGGCCGAAAGGTGCCTGGCTACATGGTGTGAGTTCGCGTCTCTTGCCTGAAAGGGTGCAACTTCGGGCCTGAGGCTGGGGGGGAGGAGGAGGAGGAGGAGGAGGGGAGGAGAGGAGGAGGAGGGAGGAGGAGGAGGAGGAGGAGGAGGAGGAGGAGGAGGAGGAGGAGAGAGGAGAGAGCGAAAACGATGACGACGGAAGATGAAGGTTGGGGGGCCTGAAGCCAGGTCAAGTGCGAGGAGGTAGTGAAGGACAAACGCTGGACGCGGAGGAGGAGGAGGAGGAGGAGGAGGAGGAGGAGGAGGAGGAGGAGGAGGAGGAGGAGGAGGAGGAGGAGAAGGGAGGGGGAGGAGAGAGGATGAATGTGCTATCTGTCGCATTTCACTCGCGATGCCTTCGACGACTGGCCAGCATCACGTCAGCCGAACACAGCTCTTGACGTCGTGTGCAAACACCTGAAGTAGAGCGTGCAGGGCTGAAGGAGGGGAGGGTCTGCCCAGGCTGCGAGGACGATGGGGGAGGCGGGGCAAGGGGTGGACGCGGCCGTTGGGTCGTCCACTGTGCGGCTCAGCCGCCATCCTGCTCCGCGCTGGTGCGCGCCTGCTTTCCAATACAGCCCATCTCGCCCATACTCGTCTCGAACATTGCCCACTTGGTCCGAGATGGTCTCCAGCACGGCTCCAGTAATTCCAATGATGTCTCACACACGATGCTCAGCGGCACGATGCATGTGCCGACGCTGCGATGGAAACCTAAAGTCAGGACCGCCGCCTCGCGCACGGCAGCGGCAAGGCGTCGCGCGGGCGCGAGAGGGCCAACGATGGCTTCCCAGATGCCCCAGAGCCCAAAGCCTCCCGGGGAGGCCCTCGAGAGTCCCAAATCGTTGAACGACATGCTGCGTTTCAGCTGCTCTTTCGCTTCTCGCCTGGTCGGCCGTCGATGAGCCTAGAGTGCCTTGAGATGGCCAGCGAGGACCTGACACGACGCCACGTATGACCGAAAGATGCCCCCCAAAGCCTCCACGTGCACCCCAACGCAACGTCAAGAGGGGGCCAAACCTTGCAGGAGACTCCAGGAAAGCTGCAGCAAGGCCCAAACTGGCAGCTTTGGTGATCCAAGCGGGGGGCACTAACTGCACCGCTGTTTTTGTACCAGAAAAGTTGCCTAGGAGAGTTCCCATTTATCCGCGACCGTACCGGAGGCAGAGAAGAAGTGTCCTCGGGTCCCTTTGATTTCTCTGTGTTGAATCTTGCGAGCGCAAATCCCAAAAGCCCTGGGGCCCAGGGCCCGAATCCAAGGGGGCCCACCCCGGTGGCTGGTTCCTCGTCGCAGGCCGTTGTTCGGCGGGCCCAGCTCCTCGGGGAGGCCACTCTCGAGGCGGACGAGGGGGGGGGGGAACGGCTCGGGACGTTGGAGTCTGGGGACTGGGAAATGGCTCGCGTGTCGCGCCACAACGTGGCGGGCCAGCCCTGGCGTAGCGACGCGCCATCCCAAAGTTCCCGACCGTGACCTGGCGCGTCCAGTTTAGGAAAATCAGCGAGGCAATATCTTGGGAAACTCAGCAACGTCGTAATCGAATCGAAGGGAAGCCCCTTCCCTTTGATCCCTCCCCCGTCGGGGGGGGTCAGATGCGCATTCCCCCCTGGGGGTCCCCTTGGGAGGGGGGTGTCCCGACGGGGGTGGGGTGGGGGGGTGGGGGGTGGGGTGCGTCGTCCGCCTCCTCCTCGTGCGGCTCCTCCTGCTCCTCCTCCTCCTCCTCCTCTTCTACCTCCTCCTCCTCCTCCTCCTCCTTCCTCCTCCTCCTCCTCCTCCTCCTCCTTCCTCCCTCCTCCTCCTTCCTCATCCTCCTCCTCCCTCCTCCTCCTGCCTCTTCGCGCTCCGCGTCGTCGTCTTCAGGGCCGGCGGCACCGGCCGTGAGGCCTCCGCAGCCTGCGCGGCAACCCTTCGGAGGGGGGGGCCCAGCCGCCCTCCCAGCTCGGCCGAGGCGCGCGGGCCTCGCCTCCCGGTGGCCGCGAGCGGCGGCGCCCGGAGACCGGGCGCAGGGCCACACCCGGGCGCGGCAGGAGCCTGCAGGCTCCGTCGCTCCGGCTTCAGCAGAGGAAAGCAAAAACACATAAACACTACGCTACCGAGGAACCCCACATCCTTATATGATGGCTGGAGTCATGATAGCTGGATTGAAGCCTGTGAGACTGATGTTGGCGGCTGTCCCCTGCGCACCCCCTGTGGTGTCGAGAAAGTGCCACTCCTGCTTTGCCCACGAAACATGTGGGGAATCAACTTTTGGCGGTTCGCGCGGGCTTCTTGGATCAGCGCTGGGACCCCCCTCCCTGGCGCGCGGATCGCGCCAGGGTCGGCGCCGGAGGCGCCGCCAGGGGGGCCCAGCGCGGATCCAAGGGATCCGCGCGGAGCGCCAAAAGTTTATGTTTATGTGGTTTTTTCTTCTTCGATTTAGGTGCGGCATTGTCCTCCTACAGGCAGGTTTTGGAAGGCGAACAAAGAAAGTAAAACATAGCCAACAGATGTTCAAACATACCCCAAACTGATATAATATTGTCCCCAGACTATGTTCTGGCAATTTGGAATATTCCTCCTGTAGAGGGACATGCCAAATTTAACTCTGGCTGCACCCCGCTTGCGCTGAACCCCGCTGTTTGAAAGGGGCCCCGGGACACACACGCAAATCAATACACACACAAATCACAGGATTCCCCCCACATTTTCTGGACTTTCATCTTCCTCCCCACTTCCCACATCTTCCAGTCTCTTCCTGGGAATCAGCGATTACCTGCCTCTGTGCTTGATTTTTTACTCCTGACATTTGCCGGCCGAGGCGAGCATTTACAGGGCGAGGCGGAGCGGGTCCGACTCAGGAGCCGAACTCTCTCTGTGCGCCGACGTTGTTTCCGGCCCCGCACGGAGACTCGCACGGGAAAACGGCTCCTGGTGCACACGGGCTCCTCGTGGACGCCCGAAAGGGGTACGGAAAGAATGGGTACAATGCCCAACAACAAATGTTGTCCCAAACCAGCAGCGGCCGCTGTTGGGCAAGCGGCCTTGTCTCAAATGGACACAGGCCGCGGCGGCGCGGACAGCGAGTCCTGTACAAAATGAACAGGAACTGCTGTTGGGCATTGTACCCATTCTTTCCGTACCCATTTCGTTCGTGCCGACTGGTGCATACGTTTTCCTATGCTTCCCCGGGAAGCAGCGTGGACAAAAAGTATATGCGCCACACCGCCCCGACGTCGCCCCCGACCCTCAAGCGAGTCCTGGGGTTGAAAAGCAGCCTGGCACCGGTGACGTGTATGCTCCAACTTCCGCCCGAAGACCCCAGCCCGCAGACCCGCACGCCTCGGGCCACGGCCTCTCTCTCCCCGCGACGTGGCGACCGTGGGCAAGGGCCCAGGGGGGCTGCCGAGGCAGCTGGCGCGAGCGGGCCTCCCGACGCCTGGCCGCCGCGGCTGCAGGATCATCCGCAGAGCCTCCTCCCACTCCTCCTCCTCCTCCTCCTCCTCCTCCTCCTCCTCCAGTTCCTCCTCCTCCCCCCCCCCTCCTCCTGTTCCTCCTCCTCCTCCTCCTCCTCCTCCTCCTCGTCCTCCTCGTCCTCGTCCTCGTCCTCGTCCTCGTCCTCGTCCTCGTCCTCGTCGTCCTCGTCCTCCTCCTCCTCCTCCTCCTCCTCCTCCTCCTCCTCCTCCTCCTCCTCCCCCTCCCCCTCCTCTGTTGGAGGGGGACAGGCTCAGGGCGGGGGAGGCATCGAGCCGGACGCGCCGACGGAGCGGCGGCAGGCCCCCGGCAGCAGCTCCGCCCCGCTCAAGGGGCGGGCTGGGCCACTGGGGGCCGCGGCGTTCTCCCCTGAGCCTCTCCCCCCCTGGAGCGTTGCCCCAGATCCCCTCCCTCCTGGCCATCGCTCGGGCGTCCATTCCTTCTGTTTTTGTCGGTTTCGTGGGTGGCGTTGTCGCCAAACGAGCAAGGATGCTCCTCAGGGGTCCTCGCCGAGAAGCAGATACACACGTCCGAGCGATGCCAGGTCCCTCCCGCCCTCCATCCCATACCAAACATCAGATGCCCTGCGCCTCAGCTGCCTGTCCCTCGCTCCTTGCTGGATGATGTGTCGGTTGTGGTGTCAGTCCAAGTCGACATCAAGACAGGGATGAACGCCTTGTCTTCATTTCTCGTCCGACGTTTTACGATCAAGGGCACGATTCACATATCGGGAACATACACAAGTGTTCAACTACCACTTTCTGCCGCTAAGTGAATCTTCAAGATTGAGCTGAGATGTGCTACCGTACTCCTCGTCCCTCCCAACTCCTCTTGCTGCTGCTACTGCTCCTCCCGCGAGCCCGCCCCAGCGCGACGCGCCGACGACACCGCCGACGCCGCCGCCGCCGACGACGACGCCGCGTGTTCCCCTACAGGCGGATATGGGAAGAAAAATGAAAAATAGTAAAGAAATGCCAGAAATGGCAACAGAAATACTACAAAAATCGTCCCCCTCCTGTTTGTGGACTGTTCTGGAGTACAGTATTCCTCCTGCAGGGGGACGTGCCCGACCTTCAACGTGCACGTTGTCGCCGACGCCGACGCCGGCGGCGGCGGTGGCGACGGCGGCGCCGGCCGCAATCGGCCGCACTCGGCCCTGGCCGGGCCGCGCCCCTCGCCCCCCCTCGCTCCAGGGTGCACTCGCCCTCGGGGCAGACGCACTCCCCGCCCTTGCACTCCGCGGTGCCCTCCGCCGAGCCGCGGGCCGCGGGCCGCGGGCCGTCGCCGTCGTCGCCGCCGCCGGTTGTCGTCGTCAGCGTCGTCGCACCGTCGTCGTCGTCGTCGTCGTCGTCGTCGTCGTCGTCGTCGTCGTCGTCGTCGTCGTCGTCGTCGTCGTCGTGGTCGTCGCCGTCGTCGTCGCCGTCGTCGTCGTAGTCGTCGTCGTAGTCGTCGTCGACGTCGTCGTCGTCCTTACCCTCACCCCTCTTCTCCTCCTCCTCACGCGGCTGGTTCTTCTGCTGACCTTCTGGGAGAGGGCAGGCGAAACACCCCAGGCCCTCTTCTGCCTATTTCTGCTTGTCCTCTTCTCCTCCCTTCACTCCTCAATCTGCCGCTGCTTCTCTCCTTCCTCCCCCCTACTGCGGTTTCTCCTCTTCCTTCCCCTCCTCCTCCTGCCCGTCCCTCCTGTCCCCCTCCTCGCCTTTTTTCTCTTCTACACTCATCGTGCTTCTGCTGCTGCTGCTGCTGCTACTGCTGCTGCTGAGGAGGCGGGAGGGAGCACGGAGGAGCGGGGCGGAGAAGATCTCTCGCTTACCCCTTCCCATCCTCCCGGTCCTGCCGCCTGCCTCTGCTCTCGCCGCTGCTGCTGCTTCCCCCCTCCTGCTCCCGTCCCCCCTGCCCCTGCCCCTCCCTGTCTGCCGCCCCCCCCCCAGTCCGCCTCCCTTCCCTCCGTTCATTGCCATCTTCCCGTCTCCCTTCTTTCTCTCCCCCTCTATCTCCGTCCGCGATCCCTCCTCTGTCCCCCATTTTCCCTCCCTCCTTCTCTCTCTCTATCATTCTCTCGCGCTCTCTCTCGCGCTCCCTTCCCCCCCTCCCCCCCTCCCTCACTCCCAGCCTCACTCCATACATTTGTTTGTTGCGCGCGCTTTGCTGTTTTTGTTTGAAGCTGTTCTTTCCCCAACCATCCTGTTGTGTTGGGTCCTCGTTTTGAAGAAAGACACCGCCCCGCGTCCTTCCTCCCTCTCCCCGTTCCTCCTCCCTCCTCCCACCCCTGTCTCTGCCATCCGCACGTCCGCATCGTCATCCGCATCGTCATCTTCGTCATCATCCTCCTCCTCATCCTCATCCTCATGCTCACCATCACCATCATCACCATCATCATCACTATCACCATCATCACCATCATCACCATCACCATCATCATCATCATCATCATCATCATCATCATCCTCATTAGCATCACCATCACCATCACCACCATCGTCATCATCACCATCATCGTCGCCATCATCATCATCATCATCACCATCATCATCGTCATCATCATCATCATCATCCATCATCATCAACATCAGCATCACTATCATCGCCATCGCCATCGCCATAATCATCATCACCATCATCAGTTTCAGCATCTGCATCAGCACCACCATCATCGCCATCATCACCATCACCATCATATTACCATCATCATCATCATCATGGCGTTCATGAGCATCAATATCATCATGATCATCATGATCATCATCATCAGCATCATCATCATCATCGTCAGCACCACCAACATCACCACCATCATCCCCATCATCATCATCCTCCTCCTCCTCATCATCATCATCACCAACTCAATTGGCATTGCCGCCATCATCATCATCATCGGCATCCGCATCATCATCATCATAATCATCATCGCCATCATCATCATCACCACCATCATCATCATAATCATCATCAGCATCATCATCATCACCATCACCATCACCATCACCATCACCATCACCATCACCATCACCATCACCATCATCATCATCATCATCATCACCATCATCATCATCATCATCATCATCATCATTATCATCATCATCCTCATGATCGTCCTCCCGCTCCTTCCTCCTGCCTCCCGTTCCTGCCTCAGCTCTTCCATGTCCATTTCGGCTCACCCCTCACACGCTTCGTGGCCGCATAGGAAGCTCCACTGAAGGCCCCAGCCGCAAGGTCCGCATGGCGCCGACGCAAGCATTTCGGCACATCCTTGACACGATTCGTGGCCCCATGGGGAGCGCCACCGAAAGCCCCAATGACAGGGTCGTCTGCATGGCGCCGCCGCGCTCGTTTGGGTACACCCATCACACGTTTCATGTTTCGTGACCCCTATAGGGAGCTCCACCGAAAATTCCAACGGCAAGGTCCGCATGGCGCCACCGCGCTCATTTCGGCAAACCCCTCACGCGCTTCGTGACCCCAGAGGGAGCTCCACCGAAAGCCTCAGAAGCAGGGTCCGCATGCCGCCACCGCACCAATTTGAGCACACCCCTCACACGCTTCGTGGCCCCATAGGGAGCGCCACCGAAGGGCCCAATGGCAGGGTCCGCATGGCGCCACCGTGCCCATGTCGGCATATCCCTCACACGTTTCGTGGCCCCATATGAAGCTCCACCGAAAGCCTCAGAGGCAGGGTCCGCATGGCGCCACCGCGCCCATGTCGGCGCACCCCTCACACGTTTCGTGGCCCCATGGGGAGCTCCACCAAAGGCCCCAGTGGCGGGGTCCGCATGGCGCCACCGCACCAATTTGGTACACACCTCACGCGCTTCGCGACTCCATAGGGAGCTCCACCGAAAGCCTCAGACGCAGGGTTCGCATGCCGCCACCGCACCAATTTGAGCACACCCCCTTCGTGGCCCCATAAGGAGCGCCACCGAAGGCTCCAGTGGCGGGGTCCGCATGGCGCCACCGCGCCATAGGGAGCTGCACCGAAGAACACAGTGGCAACAATCCATTACCAAAAGACGAGGGCGACTGCCGCGCGTTGTCGGAACTCCATGAAGAATGGCTGACCTGCGTCGGCGGTTCTCCTCGCTCGCTCCCGCGTGGGGCCGTCCTGGAACGTGTCCTGACCAGATCGCATCGCCTCGCCACCAGATCGCGCGCTGGACATGAGCGGCGGTACATTATGAGCTCGACCACAAGAAACCTTCCACAAGAAACCCAACCCCGAGACCCCAGGACGTCCATTGATTTGTTGGTGTGGGAACGTCACGCTTCCCATAGCAAAACCATCGACACCCAAGAAACCCAGGGCACCCTGGAGGCGAGCAAGGTGCTCCTTGGCATGGGCTACCACGGAGAGAACACATCATCGGGGCGCCTCTCCGCGCAATCCCTCGCGCAGCGTGCCCGCTGCTCCAGGTGCCCCTCGGCCGCAGAGGGTTGCGCTCGCGGGCGACCCGCTTCGGCTGACCTCCGCGCCCCCTACGGGTGGCCTCTGCTGAAGGGGCCCTGGGACACACAAATAAATCCACACAATAAAAGGATTCCCCATATTTTCCCATATTTTCTGGGTTTTCGTCTTCCCCCCCAACTTCCCATATTTTCCCATATTTTCCTGGGGAGCCGACGATTAATTGTGTTTGTGTGTTTCTTTTCCTCCTGAGCCTCTGCTGCCCCGAAGGTTGCTTCGTGCGCGCTCTGCGCGCCCTTCGCCGCCGGGTCTCGCCACAACGGTGCTCGCGACCTCGGGCCGACCCTCCCGCTCCGCCCTGCCGCCCCCGTGCCCGCACTGCCCCCGGGGTCTCCTCCTCCCCGCGGCGCAGTGCTCACGAGGGCAGAGGCCCTGCCTTGCGACCTTTGGAGTTTGCGCGGCCCCCTCCTTCGCCTGATCTCCCTCGCGGTATTCGCATGCCCCTCGAGTGCTTCGGCGCGCCCCTGCATGTTTCGCGGCCCCATCGCGAGCTCTACCTAAGGCCCCAGAGGCAGCACCCGCATGGCGGCCCCGCCAAATTTCGGCGCACCCTTCACGCGCTTCGTGGGAGCTCCACCGAAGACGGTTCTCACAACGGCGGTATTCACAAATGCATATGGTTGGGTCCTTCGCCAGGCTATTTTTATGAGGGCCAGAGTACCTGTGTGCATTGTGTCGTGTGTGTGCTTATTTACATCCTCTATCTATCTCCCTCTTCTCTTGCCCTGTCTCTGTACCTCTCTCTGTCTGTCTGTCTCTGCCTGTCTCTGTCTGTCTCCGTCTGTCTGTCTGTCTCTCTCTCTCTGCCCTGGCCCCACCATTCGGTGCGCCCGGGGGGAGGGTCGCCTCGAGATGCTGCTTCTTGCGCTACAGGGTGCCACTCCCCAAGACGAGGTGAACAGATGGGATGTGTCGCCGGTTTGCCCCCCTCTCCCTCTCGATGGTCCTCAGAGCGTGTGCTGGCGCCAACGTGTGCTTGTCCAACGAATCCCATCAGTGCGTCGCGAGGTCACGTGAGGAGTGCCGACAGAGGCTGCGTGCTATCGGTGGAGCTGAGCGAGGTAACCACACGCTGGACCAACACAAGTCTGAATATCATCGACCCTCTTTCCCGTAGGGGAACATCATACAACATAACCATCGGAGGGGAGGGGGTGAGATCGAAGTGGAACGGAGAGGGAAATCGATTTCGGTTTCGTGTTCGTGCGTGCCGTGCGTGCGAGGCGAAGCTGCGTGGGCGGGCGAGAAGAAAAACTCCTGTAGCTGAGGCGCGGCTGGACCAAATGATTCCGGACCGGCGTCCGGTGGCCCGAAAAGTCCCGCCGGTGTCCCGCCTCCGGCTGAGGCGCGGCCGGACCAAATGATTCCAGACCGGCGTCCGGTGGCCCGCGGTGTCCCGCCGGTGTCCCGCCTCCGGCTGAGGCGCGGCCGGACCAAATGATTCCGGACAGGCGTCCGGTGGCCCGCGGTGTTCCGCCGGTGTCCCGTCGGTGTCCCGTCGGTGTCCCGATGATGATGATGATGATGATGATGATGATGATGATGATGATGATGATGATGATGATGATGGTGATGATGATGATAATGATGATGATGTTGATGATGATGATGTCGATGATGTTGATGATGATGGTGGTGATGATGATGGTGTCCCGATGATGATGATGATGATGTTGTTGACGATGATGATGATGATGGTGTCCCGATGTTGATGATGATGTTGCTGATGATGATTGTGTCCCGATGATGATGATGATCCTGATGATGTTGATGATGATGATATGATGAGATGATGACGATGATGGTGTCCCGATGATGATGATGAGGCTGATGATGATGCTGTTGATGAAGATGGTGATGGTGTCCCAATGATGATGATGATGTTGCTGATGACGATGGTGTCCCGATGATGATGATGATGATGATGATGATGATGATGATGCCAAGTAGGTTGACGATGATGATGAGGTGATGATGATGATTTTGATGATGGTGGTCCGATGATGGTGATGATGCTGATGGTGATGACGATGATGGTGTCCCGATGATGCTGATAGTGATGATGATGACGATGATGATGGTGTCCCGATGATGATGATGATGATGATGATGATGATGATGATGATGATGATGATGTTGTTGAGGATGATGATGTTGCTGATGATGATGATGATGATGATGGTGCCCCGACGATGGTGATGCTGTTGTTGATGTTGTTCATGCTGGTGATGAGATGATGATGTTGATGATGACGGTGGTGTTCCGATAATGATGATGATAGTGTCCCGATGATGATGATGTTGATGACGATGGTGACGATGATGGTGTCCCGATGATGATGATGCTGGTGATGATGATGTTGATGATAATGGTGATGATGCTGTTGATGACGTTGATGACGATGATGTTGATGATGATGTTGACATTGATTGTGAGATCGATTGTGATATCGATATTGAGATCGATGGTGAGACCGAGTGAAATCGATAGTCAGATCGATTGTGAGATCCATCGAATGAAATAGATCGAGTGAGATCGATTGTGAGATTGATCGAGTGAGATCGATCGAGCGAGACCGATAGTGAGATCGATAGTGAGATCGATAGTGAGACCGATCGAGTGAGACGTTGGTGCCTCCCCCCCCGAACCTCCTTATCACCCGAAGGGTGGTCGAATAGGTATACTTTCGGAGGTTCGCGCGGATTTCTTGTCCTAGTCCTCCATCGTCCCCTCCCTCCCCCACACCTGCTGCTGCTCCCCCACTTGCCCTCCCGCTCTTCCTCCCTGCTCGCCTCCCTGCTAGACCCGCCGTTAAAGAGAGAGAGAGAGAGAGAGATACAGGAACATACACAACATAAACACAACAAGAATGTGGCTTGGGCCCAGTCGGAGCGGCCACACAACTCCCCGCCAAGAAGCCGCACTTCCCGATGCTCTTGTTGCACTCGTGAAGCCTTGCGCGCAGAAGTCGTTACGATTCCCCAGATACGAAGGAGGAAGACGGATGAGGAGGCGTATGATTAGACACATTTGTTGGGTGAAAGAGGACGAGAGAAATGGGGGGCATGGGGGGAGGACGAGGAGAATAGGCGGAGTGTGTGAGTGCATCTGGCACTGCACGGGAGTCAATACGTATCCCCCTCGCGCCCACCCGACCCCTGGCAGCCACACTTGGCCTTCACCTGGCCTCTGCCTCCGATGACCTGGTCCTCCTCCTCCTTCTCCTCCTCCTCCTCCTTCTCCTCCTCCTCCTCCTTCCACTCCCAGCCCGAGCTGGGCGCCTGAACCTGCAACCTCTGCTCAGCCGCGAGGGAGGATGGGGGATGAGGAGGAGGAGGAGGATGAGGAGGGGGAGGAGGAGGAGGAGGAGGAGGAGGAGGAGGAGGAGGAGGAGGAGGAGGAGGAGTAGGAGTAGGAGAAGGATGATGATGATGATGATGATGATGATGATGATGATGATGATGATGATGATGACGATGACGATGATGATGATGAGCAGGAGGAGGAGGAGGAGGAGGAGGAAGTGGGATGGAGGGAATGGGAGAGAAGGAGGAGCATGAAGAGGAGAAGGACAATTTCTCACGCTTTTTGGGGGCTTGGGGGCCCTGGGGGTGCTCCAAGAATTCTGATGGGGCTCCTTTGTTTTGGGGTCGAGTGGGGTCGGGAGTTGTCAGGGGCTTCTGGGGTTGTGGGAATGAGGAGGAGGACGAGGAGGGATGATGTAGGCAACATGGCTGGCGAGGCCGTCGGCTCCTGACGACCATCCTGGCTGGCATGCCGATGGGGGATGCAGGGGTATGAACATAGATGGAGGATGGATGGTGATGATGACGACGATGATGACGATAATGATAATGATAATGTCAGTTCACTAAGTGAAGGAAAATGGAGCCTTTAAACCGAGGGGGGTGGATGCTTCCCTTCATGGGAGAGCCTCGCCTTCTCGGCCTTGGTTAGAGACTTGGGCCACAGACCTTGGCGGATCATCCTTAAATAACCCTCGCCCGTCGGTGTGGCTCGAGATTCACACAACTTACGCAGCTTCACATTCTGAAGACTGGCGAAGGCGATCGACTGCATCGAACGACAACGAACGACGGCGACGATCGACGACATCGACCGGCCGAGCGACGACGACCGACCACCGGTGGACGACGGGCGACGCCGATCGACGACGACCCCGACATTTTTCAATCACTGCGCGGCCCCACAGGTCCCGACCCCTCCCCCAGGGTCCAGTCTGTCGCCCCGGGTCCCTTCCTGATGGCCCCGGGGCCCACTTTTGGCGGCCTCCAGAGGCCGAGCTCGAAGAGCCACGCCTGGATGGAACCAAGAGCGCGCGTCGGAAATTTCTGGGAACGCCCCTCGGCGGACGGCGGCCGACCCCGCGACGGCGGGGGCGCGGCGGGCGGCGCGACGGACGGCGAACGGCGGCACGCGCTCGCGAGGGGGGGGGGCTCCTCCTCCCGCCTCCTCCCTCCTCCTGCTCCTCCTGCTCCTCCTGCTCCTCCTGCTCCTCCTGTTCCTCCTCCCCCTCCTCCTCCTCCTCCTCCTCCTCCTCCTCCTCCTCCTCGTCCTCCTCCTCCCACTCCCCCTCGCCCTCCTCCTCCAGGGGGGGGGCTCGCGTGTCGCAGCTCGTGCCGTTGGAGGAGCAAGCGTCCTTGCCTCGGGGGGCGCGCGCTGGCGCGGGCGGCGGGGGCCGCTGGAGGGAGGGGGAACGGAACGGGGGCGCCCAAACATGGATTAGCGATCCATGGATTTGGCGCGCGGTCGCCAAATCCATGGATCGGGGGAGGTGCCCTCCCCGAAATGCGGCCAGTGCCGCCTCGCACGGCGGCGGAGATCCGCGATTCCCCTATGGAAACGGGGCCCGTCGCTAATCCACGCCCCCTTGATCCATGCTTGCAATCGCCTGAATGGAGTGGAGGGGTGAGAGGGGGCTCCCCCGACGAATGATTTTGCCCAATCTGGGCGTCTTTCCTCGACTGCGGCCTCCGGGGCCTGTTCGACCGGAAGCCGGGACCATCAAAGCTTGTCCAGGCGAACAGCTACTCCTGGGGAGGTCGGGGCTCCTCTGGGGCCGCGGATGGAATAAAATCATAGATATTGGAAGGTGTCTGGACCTCTCCTGGCTCTCTTCCGCTCCCCCCTTCCCCTTCCCTCCCCTCCCTCCCCCCCTCCCCTCCGAAAGGTGGAGGTGTGGAGGGGTCGCGGGAAAAAAGGCGAGGGGAGGGGAGGGGACTCCCGTCTCTCCTCGTCATCGTCCTCCTCCCTCGCTCTTTTGTAACAGTTGTCCAAATCGAGAGGTTATCAGGGGCCAGAGTGTTCCTCGAAATGCAGGGTGCGGCAAGCTCGACAATTGCACTGCCGCCCCAAACCCCATACCTCCCAATAGTGATGTCTGGTCACGTTCACGATGCGGCGCAGATCACTGTGAGGGGAAACCGAAAGTATGCTATACTGGTGCGAAAGGCCACGGCCGCAGCGCAAGAAAAACGGGCACGGCAGCGGCAAGAGACACGAGCCCCCGCGCGAGTATGACAGCGAACCCTCGTCACAGGCCGTGCCAGGCATCGCGAAGGAGCTGGAGATGTACAGGGCCCGCCTCAAGAATCTCGAAAAGCTCGCACAAGAACCAGGCATGGAGTTCGCGTCGGAGGCCACGTCCGAACTGCAGGAACAATTTGCCGGGCTACTGCCACAAAAAGGAATGCTGTTTCCCAATTGCTACGCGGAGCTGGCTGTACGCCGGGGGCTTCGAGGAGCAGAGCGAGCACAGACAACGTCGGCAGCGACAGTCAAGGAACACCAGGGCGAGCTCAGGAAGAAACAGGAAATAGCGAAGCCCAAAGCAGAGCAAACCATCAAGAAGGTGGAGAGTCTTCGTAAATCGCGCGCACCAAGATCGAGAATAATATTGGCAGGGACAAACGGAGCAAATAATTGGGCCACGCGGTCGTACGCGAGGCCGTGCACCTGGACGTGACGCAGGCGGCGTCGAGGAGTTGGCGGGTCGGAGTCCAGTCCAAGGAACGCCGCTGGAACGCGCGTGAAGGACGCTGGAGGGGCAACGACCAAGGTGATCAAGCTCGGGCTCTGGCTGAAACTGTCGGAACATCGGAATCCCACCAGCCCTCTGGGCGTAGGTGGTCTCGCGATGTTCTTTCTTGCCTCTTCCAAAAATCCCCTTGCCCCTTCGGCGAGGGGTTTTCCCCTCCCCCTACCCCTTCCCGCGGACCTGGACGGGGCGCCCCGCGAGGTGGCAGAGGGTGTTTTTTCGGCCCCTGGGAGGGCCAATTTTTTACACCCTTCACGCGGATCGTGGCCCCCGAGGGGGGGGCAACATAAGGGGACCCCCTCCTTTGATCGATCACCCCCCAATACGGCCCGAAGAGGCGATCCAAGGCTCCCAAAAAGCTCTCAACAGGGCCCAAAGAGCGCCCCCCAAAGCCCCAAAAAACTTCCAAGAGGCACCCGAGAGGCCCCCAAGAAGCCCCCGAACGGCCTCAGAGAGCCCAAGATAACCTCCAAGATGGCTCAGATAGCCCAAGCTGGCTCAAGATGGCCCCCAATATGCTCCAAACGGCCCCAAAACCGCTCCAAGACGGCTCGAGATGGCCACGGACCCTCTGAAGCCTCCCGCGCTGTGTGACTATGCGTGCCTCTTCCTCTCATAGGCATTGTTTCTGGATGGGCTGGTGGGGATACTTTCCTGTTCGCGAGCGACACAGAGCAACTGCGCGCCGTCAACAAACGAAACAACAACGCAACGATCTGAATCACGGCCTAAGAGGGAACCACAGCGACCGGGGCGCACTACGCAGTAGCTCAGGCGGCGGAACCGGAGAAGTCCAGGAAGTCCGCCAGGCCGAGGAGGACCAAGGAGGCCACGATGCACACCAAAATGGTGAGTGAATTGAGCGTCGGACCCAGGATGGAGGGTCAGACAGCCGTGGCGCAGAGGCTCGCCATGCGCGTAGCGAAGAAGCAAGCAAAAGGCAAGACAATGATCACCGCCAGCTGACACAACGTCGTGAACGTCGGTGCGCGTCGCTGCCCGCCGTCACCCGCATGTTGGGTGGAAGCCAGCCGCCGGCAGCGCAGGGCCCGTGCCGGGGGGCATCCGCTAGCCTGTGCGAACTCGACGACGGAGTGGCCCCCAACGAGCGTCGTGGCCCGTACTGGTCGACCGAGCTCGGAGCTGGTGGCTGGCGGGGGTAATTACGCGAAGCGTGAAGAATTTCTGTGCGGGTGGAACCCCGCCCGCAATTTCGGATAAGAGTGAGAGGGCGGACGCGGGGTGGGTTGCAGGTGTGTCGCGGATGAGTCGCGGGGTGGGTCGCGGGGTGGGTCGCGGGGTGGGTCGCGGGTGGGTCGCGGGCCGCGGGTGGGTCACGGGTGGGACGACGACGACAACAACACCAAACAACCAGCAACATACAAGCATAATCTGGGCCCAGTAATCCCATATCGTCCGCGCACCCAGGGATGGTGCAAGACCACTCGACCCTCTCACTCTGATGTAACTCTTCCTTCTTCTGCTCTTTGAACATCAAGGCAACTTGTTGATTTACCCCCAGCCCGAAGCGGTCCCCCCAGAGGCCCCAAACACCGTGAAGAGCCAGCAGCCGGTCCCGATACTTCGTGGCTGTGCACAGCGGGTCGTCTGGACTTCCCCTCGGCCCGAAGCGCGACCCCCGGAGGCCCCAAACGCCGCAAAGACCCAGCGACCCATCACCGACACCCCGTGGCTGAGAACGGCTCTGGGCCGCCGCCGCCCACCTCGTCGTCGTCGTCGACGTCGTCGTCGTCGCCGTCGCCGTCGCTGTCGCAGGCGCGGACCGCTGGCGTCGTCGTCGTCGCCGTCGTCGTTGTCGTCGTCGTCGTCTTCGTCGTAGTCGTCGTCGTCGCCGCCGCCGCCGCCGCCGCAGCCGCGAACCGCGCGCCCGTCAAGCCCGACGCGGGCGACCGCCGCGGGCGGCCGAGGTCGCCGTCGTCCCGCGGGCTGGCCGTCCGCGCCGGGGCCGGCCGGCGCTGCCGGGCCCGCGGCAAACGCAGCTGCCGTTGACGCAGGCCGTGGGCCCCATCTCGGCCTCTGAGGGGGGCTCCTCCTCCTCTTTCCCCTCCTCCTCCTCCTCCTCCTCCTCTTCCTCCTCCTCCTTCTCGTCCCCCTCCTCCTCCCCTTCCTCCTCCTCCTCCTCCTCCTTCTGCCCCTCTTCCTCCCAAGCCTCCTCCTCCTCCTCCTCTTCCTCCTTCTCCTCTTCCTCCTTCTCCTCCTACCCCTCCTCTTCCTCCTCCTCCTCTTCTTGCTCCTCCTCCTCCCCTTCCTCCTCCTCCTCCTCCTCTTCTCCTCCTTCTTGTCTTCCTCCTCCTCCTCCTCTTCCTCCTCCTCCTCCTCTCCTCCTCCTCCTCCTCCTCCTCCTCTCCTCTTCCTCCTCCCTCCTCCTCCTCCTCCTCTTCTCCTCCTCTCCTCCTCCTCCTCCTCTCCTCCTCCTCCTCCTTCTCCCCTCCTCCTCCTCCTTCTCCACCTCCTCCTCCTTTTCCTCCTCCTCTCCTCCTCCTCCTCGCTCCTCCTTCTCCTCCTCCTCCTCCTCCTCCTCCTCCTCCTCCTCCCCTTCTCCTCCTCCTCCTCCCTTCCTCCTCCTCCCCCCTTCTTGCCCTCCTTCTTCCTCCTCCTCCCCCCTTCTTGCCCACCCCCTCCTCCTCCTCTTCTTCCTCCTCCTCCTCCCCCTTCTTGCTCCTCCTCCTCCTCCCCTTTTTCCTCCCCTCCTCCTCCTCCTCTTCTTGTCGTCCTCCTCCTCCCTCCTCCTCCTCCTCTTCCTCCTTCTCCCTCCTTCTCCACCTCCTTCTCCTTTCCTCCTCCTCCTCGCTCCTCCTCCTCCCTCTCCTCCTTTTGCTTCCTCCTCCTCCTCCTCCTTCTCCTTTCCTCCTCCTCCTCCTCCTGCTGCTGCTGCTCCTCCTTCCTCCTCTTCCTCCTGTCGCTGTCGTTTCCGGCATCGGGATCTAAATGGATGCTGCCCCCCCCCCCCCCCCCTGGGTGGACATCGTCGCTGGACGGGTCCTCCCCCCCATCCCTTTCCTTCATCATAATTCCTCCCTGTCGCACCTCTAGACGTGTCGGCAGGGCGGGCTGGCCGTTTCGCCTACGACTTCCTCACCATTTATGATCCTGGAGCTCGACGTTTGCAACGGCTTCCCGGATGGAGGGCGGGCCGTTTTCGAAATGTGGCTCCTGCCTTAGCGCCGCGCGCATTCGTCTTCAAAGCTTGAATCCGTTTGCGGGATGGAGAGCGGTCCTTTTCAAAATATGCCTCTCGCCTTAGCGCCGCGTGCATGTGTTTCAGAAGTTCGAAACAGTTTGAAGGATGAAGAGCGATCGTTTTCGAAAAGTAGCTATCGCTTCGGTGCCGAGCACATTCGTTTTCAACGGTTACAGCACATTCAAGGATAGATGGCGTCTCCTTTTCAAAATGTGGCTTTCGCCTTATCGCCGCGCACATTCGTGCTAACATGTTGCACCAGTTTCAAGGATTCGTATGGCTGAAATCCCAGGACTGCTGTTTTGGCACAGTCACGTTGATTCGCGGTGTGGAAGTCTCAGGAATGGCGCTCTAGCACAACTCCAGATTGTCAGGAAGCAACAGTCACGTTGATCCGCGGCGTTGAACCCCCAGGAACCGTATTTGTCAGGATTGAGGACTCTCAGACGGTTGTCTTGCAATGGGTCACTCCCCGCAGTGAAGGTGAGTTATTGTAGGGGCCTGTGCAGAGGGTACTGGGAGGGAGAGTTCATTGCAAGATCGTTGCTGCGTCTTGGGCTTTCACTGGTCCTCCTTTGCGTTCTCAAGCGCTTGAGAACGCCTGGGAGCGCCTGGGAGCGCGTGTGTGGGAATTTCGGGTCTCGGGAGGTCGCCGGCCTCCTGGCCGGGGGTGGGAAGATGGTGCACATCTTGCACCCTTCGGCAATGACCGGGTCGGCGAGACGCCGCCCCGACCAAGCTTGCCGAAGCGGGGGGGCAGCACTGCCTGAGACTGTTGGCCGCTGCGCGCAGAGGAGCCCTGAACTCTAAACCCGAAACCCCAAACACCCATGAGCGAACCTGAAACCCCGAACCTGAACTCTAAACCCGAAGCCCCTAATCTCCAAACCCGAAGCCCTAACCCCCCACGAGCGACCGCGACCACCCCCTCCGCCTCGCCCTCCCGCGCCCCCCGCTCCTGCAGCTGGACGGCCTGGCCTGCCCATGCCCGCGGGCGGGCACCTCTGCCTCTTCTTCGGCGGCCTCGCCGTGGCCACGCGCGGCCTCCGGGAGCCCCTCCGGCACTCTCGATCACCCCGCCGTGTTCCCTGCAGCCGTGCTCGACGTGCCCAGGGCGAGGCTGGACGTGGGCGGGCACCTGCCTCTTTTCTTCGGCGGCCTCGCCATGGCCACGCGCGGCCTCCAGGAGCCCATCCAGCACTTCTTTCACCCCGTGCTCCCTGCGGCCGTGCTCGACGTGCTCAGGGCGCGAGGCTGGACATGACGCTCACCCTGCCCTCCTGCCCCCGCGCTGGGCGACAACACCAGCGCGACCTCCAGACTTTGGGCGTGGCTTACTGGTCACAAATGGGGGGGTCAGAAAAGGTCCCCTTTCGTGCCCCTCCAGAGCCCCAGGGGGCTCGTTTAGGTACCATTTGGGTACATTTTCGAACCACCCTCGCCCCCCCCCCATTTATGACCCCCCCATTACGCGGCGCCCAACAGACGCCTCGGCGTCCGCGCCGGCAGCGACGAGAAGCACCTCGGGGCATGACCTCGCTGAGCAGGCACGGGGGCCATCCACGAGCGGGCGCCGCAGGTCGCGGCGCGACGGGCACGGACTGCAGCCGTGCGGAGGGGGCAGGAGGAGCGACGCAGAAGCTGGCACGGCACTTCAAGCCCAGACCCCCGACGTCGTGATTTTTTCGCAACGTCGACCCCCAAAGGTCTGGACCCCTTCCCCGGGACCGGTTTTTCATCCTGAATCGTTTTTTGACTGTCCCGAGGCCCGGTGAGGGCCCCCGGAGGACGAACATAGCGAAACATCTCCCGCCGTCATTCTTTCACAGCGCGAGGGGGGTCTGGGAGGTGCCAGCGCTCTTCTACGGCTCGGAGACGGTGGGCGTGGCGGACTCCACGCTGCAGGAGCTGCGGACCGAGCGCGGCCATAGCCGTGCCAGGCAGCACATCGAGGGGCAGGTCCACAAACCTGACGCTGCTGTGCGTCGACGTGAAGCCAGGCGGCCTCGTGAGCAACGGGCCCATTTGATCGCCTGGGCGACCGCGTGGCAGGAGGCGACCACGGACGAGCAGCTGGTGGAGCGGCTGCAGGGTGCGTAGAGGACATGGGCCACGAAGGCGGCAAAGAGTACTCTGGATGGGATATTAATCGAGGGGTGGGCGACTAACCTTCCGACGAAGCTTGCCCATCCCCCCTCCCTCCTCCACAATTACTCAATATGAATACTACTCTCCCTCTTCCCCTGATGGCGTGCTGGGAGTGGCCGACCACCCCCGCGTACTGTTTTTTTATACTCAGGGTTCTCGGGAGTTGGGTTTTCGCCTGCGTTTTTTTTCAAAATGCTGCTCTCGCTGAGGCGCCGGCCTCATTCCTGCTCCCGAATCGTTCCGAATCGTGCTCCCGCTGCAGCGTGGGCCTCATTTTCGGATCGGTGTTTGGCCTCCGTCGTTCAGGATGGCGTTCTCGCCCCAGCGCGGGCCTCTTTCTCGCGCGCCCATCCGCCCGCCACCACCGCGCCGCACCACCACACCACCACCACCACCACCACCACCAGCACCAGCACCAGCACCAGCACCAGCACCAGCACCAGCACCATCACCAGCACCACCAGCACCACCAGCACCAGCACCACGCACAACCACGCACCACACGCACGCACGCACGCACGCACGCGCACCACCACCCACTACGCACGCGCGCGCGGAGCCACAGGTCCGCTACGACACGCGTCCGCGGATAGAGAAAATCAGCGCCATGGCAAGGGATGGGAGGGAGGGGTAGGACGTCAGATATGACGCGAGCGCACCTAGCTTGCCTCCTCCCCCTCTCCCTCCTCCTCCTCCTCCTCCTCCTCCTCCTCCTCCTCCTCCTCCAACCTCCAGTCCACCGGTTCCGACAGCACGTGCCCAACCCTCCAGCAGAATGAGGCCAGCGCCGCGTCGCTTGGCGACGGAGGGCGCCGATCTCGCATTGAAACGGGGTCCTTCGTTTATCCACGCGTCTTACAGTCGGCCCGTATCAGAAGGATGCGCGATAGGGATGCAAGGGCCTTGTACGCCCATGTCGAAGCTTCTCGAGCGGGGTGCGGCCGACGAGAGTGGCCAAGGATGGACCGAGGAGGTCAGGATGCAAGGGCATCCTTGGGAAAATAACCCATCCTTACCGTGCGGGTTGACTGCAATCCGTGCTTCCCCACGCGAGGCAGAGACACGTGAGCATCGTTTAAACGATCCCTATCCCCACTGGCGTGGCCTCGGCCCCTCTGGCCGAGTTGGCCACCGAGCTAGGTGGGAACCTATATATATATATATATATATATATACACACAAGTGGCGCGTGTGCCCAGGCTCAAAAAAAAACTGAAATGGCGTTTGAAGCAGGAAGACACCATGGCGGCGGGATCGGAGATGGAGAATGGGGAAGCTGGGGCGGCGCCGCCAGGGCGTGCCTGAGAGAAGGGGAAGAGGCAGGAGGTGAACGCAGAAGAATCTAAGATCGAGTAAGAGCCCCCCCAAAGGATTGGGGATCGAGCAGGATGATCGACAAGGGCAATGCCTCTCCGAGGTCAGTGTTGCGAGGATGTCTCAGGCGAAAATGGCCTGGCCACCTCAGCTCAGGGCATCTCGGAACCCAGAGTTGCGAGGATTCCCACCAGCCGATTTGTTTCACCAGACAATTTGTGGAGGGAAAGAGAAGGAGGAGAAGAGGAGGAGGATAGCTGCTGGGAGTGAAATGCAATAGCGAGGTCGCACTCGAGCGCAAGTGGGGTTGCCACACCTTGCGATGTGTGTACCAAGGCCCCCCAGGAAGCCTCAGGAGGCCCGACTTGGAT